TTCCCCAAGCTCTGTCTCCCTCCCCTGAGGCCTTGTGGGGAAGATGCATGGATGGTACTAACAATGATTGAGCACCTACTGTGTACTTAACATAGTGTTCCGTGCTTTATACAAATTATCCAGTTTAGCTCCAAGAGGTAATTACTATTTTTATCCCCATGTTACGCTGGGAACTGAGGCTTGGCAAGCAAGGCTCTGGGTCCCAGGAGAAGAGCTGACTCTTTTCTTTTTGAGACAAAGTCTCACTCTTATCACCCAGGCTGGGAGCAATGGCACGATCTCAGCTCACTGCAACCTCTGCCTCATAGGTTCAAGCAATTCTCTGCATCAGTCTCCCTAGTAGCTGGGATTACAGGCACCTGCCACCACGCCCAGGTAGTTTTTTTGTATTTTTAGTAGAGACGGGGTTTCACCATCTTGGCTAGGCTGGTCTTGAACTCCTAACCTTGTGATCCACCCGCCTTAGCCTCCCAAAGTGTAGGGATTACAGGCATGAGCCACGGAGCCTAGCCAACAGCTGATTCTTATCTCCGAGAAATCCCTCCAGGCCAGCTGGCTTCTTGCCCCTGATTCTGTCATCTTCCTAGATTTGTGAAATGTGCACATTTAACTCCTCAAACATGTATCAGGTCCCCACATACTCCTGGGACTGTGACAGGAACTGCAAACACAACTCCAGGTGTCTCCAACCCCATCACTGCTGAGGAGACACCATGAGATCCTACTTGGGCTTTGAACTGGGTAATGGGTCTGGACAAAGCAAGACCCTTGCAGGCCACATGGGTTGGGCTGATCACATCCAGCCCCATCCAGCCCTATCTTGTCACCCAGACTCACATCTTTCTCTGCCTTGTGCCCAATGCATTTGAGAGAGAGCTGGCTGATGCTCTGCTGAGTCCAGCCAGTGGCTCTGCCCAAGGCTACTCCATGGAGGGGGCAAGTAGACCCCAGCCTCCAAGTAGATTTGAGATGGAGCAAGAACCACTCACTCATGGAGAGTGGCAGTGTGTCAGCCCTAGAGGAAAGGTTAAGTTCTTTGTCTTTTTGTATGCGTGTGCCAGAGACTCCTGTGACATCTGGTAATATTTATCGACCTCTTCTCAAAATAATGTTTCAAAATATATAAAATAGATTAGGATTACAAGATATTTTCATGAGCAGGTAAAGATGTCTACAAATTATAATTAAATACATAAAATCAGGTTACAGAAGAATTCATATAGCGTAAGCTTCAAAAGAAGGAAAGAAGGGAGGGAGGAAGGAAAGAAGGGAGGGAGGGAAGAAGAAAGGGAGGAAGGAAGGGAGAAATAAAGAAAACTATCCCTAGAAAGAATACTATCTTTATAGACATGGCTGGCCCTACCATCCATCCCACTTTGAAAAGCATGACAGGGGCTGGGTGTGGTGGCTCATGCCTGTAATCCCAGCACTTTGGGAGGCCAAGGCAGGTGGATCACTTGAGATCAGGAGAGTTCAAGACCAGCCTGACCAAAACGGTGAAACTCTGTTCTCTACTAAAAATTAGCTGGGCACAATGGTGGGTGGCTGTAATCTCAGCTACTTGGGAGGCTGAGGCAGGAGACTCACTTGAACCTGGGAGGCAAAGGTTGCAGTGAGCTGAGATTGTGCCATTGCACTCTAGCCTAGTCAACAAGAGCAAAACTCCGTCTCAATAAAAAAAAAAAAAAAAAAGAGACAGAAAAACAAAGAAAAGAAAAGCATGACAGGTCAGTGGCTCCAGGTCAGAGCCCTCTTTGGGTCCTAGACAGGTCCCCTCAGGTCACAGCCAAAGTTCCTCATTCTTGTCACTGCTTTCCCCTTGCCTAACAGCTGGGATTTCCCTCTGGGCCAATCCTAACGCAGCCCCAATGGTATTGCATGGCCATGGTCCATCTCTGAATCTGCCTCCCCATCAGACCGTGGCTTTCTGCTCACTGCTTTTTCTGCCACTGTCATGATGGTCTAGCTAAACCAAGTCACTACTCACTTCTTAGGAGATGTGGGAGCTGCTACCCAGCTGGAAGGTCACATGGCAGAGCAGCCTGGTTCTTTCAAAGTCATCATAGGCTGGGCATGGTGGCCCACGCCTGTAATCCCAGCACTTTGAGAGGCCAGGGCAGGTGGATCACCTGAGGTCAGGAGTTCGGGATCAGCCTGGCCAACATGGTGAAACCCATCTCTACTAAAAATATAAAAATTGGCCGGGCATGATGGCGGGTGGCTATAATCCCAGCTACTCAGGAGGCTGAAGCAGGAGAATTGCTTGAGCCTGGGAGGCAGAGGTTGGAGTGAGCCAAGCTCACGCCATTGCACTCCAGCCTGGGCAACAAGAGCGAAACCCCATCTCAAAAAAAAAAAAGGAATAAATAAATAAATAAAGTCATCACAGCCCTCACTGTCAGCCTCTACCCTGCTGGCTTCTCTTTCTAAAGAGCGTGGCAGTCAGACCTCCTCCCTGTCCTCACCTCCACAGCGACCTCTTCCACTTCCTGAGCTGAGATCCTGGCTCACTGTCAGGCATCGCACCACCCCCACCTCCTCTAGTCTCTGTCTCTGCCCACCAGGTTCTCCGCCTGTGCTTAGCACCCCACAAGGACTTTGCTCCTGCAGAGACACTCTCCTCAGGCCTCAGCTATTTATTTCTTGGCACAAGGTCATCCATCAGTGTATGAGCCTGCTTTTCATTCTCCCAGCTCACACCTGCCAGATCTCTCTTGCCTTTCTTAGGAATGCTTTGGTAAGGAGTCATCCATGTGTCCTGCCTCCACAACCTCCTTCCCCCTTCACTCCCCAAACTTCTGCAGTATGTATCTGTCACTCCATGAAATGGCTTGCCAAGGAATATTCACTGGGCATGTGTTTATTAAGTTCTTGCTCTATCCACATCGTGCTGAGTTAGGCAGTGGGAGAATGAAGGTGATTAAGCCAGTCCCAAACTCAGGGCTCCTGTGATAGTGGACACATACACCTGTAAGTAAACAATGTAATTAGAGTCTGGGAAAATTCTGTAAAAAAAAAAAAGCAAACCATGGCCAGTACAGTGGCTCACGCCTGTAATCCCAGCACTTTGGGAGGCCAAGGCGGGCAGACCATGACATCAGGAGATTGAGACCATCCTGGCCAATATGGTGAAAGCCTGTCTCTACTAAAATACAGAAAAATTAGCTGGGCGTGGTGGTGCACACCTGTAGTCCCAGCTACTCAGGAGGCTGAGGCAGGGGAATTGCCTGAACCTGGCCTGTGGAGGATGTCGTGCGCTGAGACTCTGCCACTGTATTACAGCCTGGGCAACAGGGCAAGACTCCATCTCAAAAAAAAAAAAAAAAAAGCAAACCATGAGAGTACACAGAGTAACTGGGAGACAAGGCAGAGGTTCTCTGTTTTAGATAGTGCAGTCCAGGGAGGCCTCTGTAAGGAGCACACCATCCAAACAGGGAGAAGGGCCGACCAGCTAGCTGGGATAGCAAGCGCAAAGGTCCTGAGGCAGAACACACATTTGTGCTTGGCAGGAAAGAAAGGCCATGGGTTTGAAGAGAAGTAAATGATAAAGAGAGGCTGCCAGGGTCAAGTGGGGTAAAGAATTGATCTTCAATGCAAGAGGATGTCCTTGCAGATTTAAGGGACAGGATCTAATTTGAATTTTAAAATGAGTCACCAAGCCCCACTGCCACATGGAAAATGAACTATAGGGGGAAAAGATGGAGGGCCACAGAGCTGTTAGAGGCAATACTTACTCAATTCTGAGTTCCAACAGGCATCTCACATATAATGTGTCTGAGGAAAACATCTCACTCCCCCTCAAAACACAACAACCAAAGCCCCCTGCTCCCCTCTCAGTCTTCCATCTCTGTAAACAGCACCACCATTCATTCAGTTGTCAAGCCAAAGACATAGGGCTATCCTTGCCTCCTTTCTCTCCCTCATCTTCTGTGTTCCAAGACCCTTTCCTTATCCATTCCTCTGCATTCCCACTGTCCTCCCTTAGGTCCAGGCATCCTTCTCTCCTTCCTTCCCTCTGCTCCTACTCCGCAAGTCAGGGGTGCTTTTTTCTTTTTTTTGGTGGAGTTTCACTCTTGTTGCCAGGCTGGAGTGCAATGGCGCTGTAATGGCATGATCTCGGCTCACCGCAACCTCCACCTCTTGGGTTCAAGCGATTTTCCTGCTTCAGCCTCCCTAAGTAGCTGGGATTACAGGCATGCACCACCACTCCCAGCTAATTTTATATTTTTAGTAGAGATGGGGTTTCTTCATGTTGGTCAGGCTAGTCTTGAACTCCTGACCTCAGGTGATCTGCCCGCCTTGGCCTCCCAAAGTTCTGGGATTACAGGCGTGAGCTACCGTGCCCGACCAGGTCGGGTAGATCTCCTGTTTGGGTGCTTTTTAGGAACACAGATCTCCTGGCCGGTCGTGATGGCTCATGCCTGTAATCCCAGCACTTTGGGAGGCTGAGGCGGGCAGATCACCTGAGGTCGGGCGTTCAAGACCAGCATGGCCAACAGGGTGAAACCCCGTCTCTACTAAAAATACAAAAATTAGCGGAGAGTGGTGGCACACGCCTGTAATCCCAGCTACTCGGAGAGGCTGAGGCAGAAGAATCCCTTGAACCCAGGAGGCGGAGGTTGCAGTGAGCCGAGATCGCGCCGTTGCATTCCAGCCTGGGCAACAGAGTGAGACTCCGTCCCAAAAATAAAAAATGAAAAAAGAGCACAGATCTTGCCCAACATCCATCCCTCAAGGACTCCTTTCGCTTTCAGGATCCTGAATAGACTTGAAGAGCCCGGTCCTGGAGAAACCGGCGAGGTCACAGCCTCAAGGGGGCGGAGCCAAGCTCGTAGCACCGTCTCCCCGTCTGGCTTGCGTTCTTCCGGGCTTCGGAACCTTTCTTCCCGGAGCCGGGGGGAGCATTTCCAGTAGTACTTTCCGGCGCTGTTGACCTTATTTCCCGTGCTGCACTGCGGCTCCTTTCTCTTCCGGTCCTAGGAGCTTCGGGAACCGCGGCTTGGGTGAGTGTTTGCCGCGCGGTATCCGATGCCATCCGCGACTTACGGGCGGCGGCGGGGCGCAGGCTGCGGAGAGGACGGCTGACCGGTTGTGTGTCTGTGGGGAGCGAAAGCTGCGGGGTGGGAATGGTGTTTCTAGATCCTAAAGAGGAGGATGGCAGGGAAAGCCACTTTATTGGGGAGCGCAGCCTTCTGGGGGTAGGGGGTTGATTTCAGGGCATCATTACCTGGGTTTAGGAGTCGAGAACTGGCGTCGGGTCGTGCAGAGCGAGTCGAGACTGGTGGAGGCTGCAGATCCAAAGCGTCTGTCTGCGGATTCATTCTGGTTTCTCGTCTTGCGTTTCACCAGATCGGGGGGCAGAGGTGGCCCAGCCTGGCGAGCTTCTCGCCCTGATCTCCACTCTTGTCTTCCAGGTGCAGACATGGCCAAGTCCAAGAACCACACCACACACAACCAGTGTAAGTTTTTTGGGCCCTGCCCACATCCCAGACCCTGGTAAGGACTGATTCAGGCAAACTGGGGCGGGGATGAAGGGGCATGTTTCTATTTTGGGCCTGAGGCTGATTGATTTCACCTTTAGGGTAATACCTTTAGGGTTATAGGTTTAGAGATCCGCTTGAGATACAGTGTTTTGCACTCAGTGGTAAGGGTTTCCCATACCTCAGCTGTAGCTCCTGTAGGAAGCCTTGGTTCACCCAGCCTTGCCAGCTGTGATGTTGGGTGGTTTTATTAGAGGAAAGTTCATTGTGGCTTAATTCCCTTTCCCTCTTACAGCCCGAAAATGGCACAGAAATGGTATCAAGAAACCCCGATCACAAAGATACGAGTCTCTTAAGGGGGTGAGTATGGACTGAATCACATGGATGTGTCTTTTCTTGATTCCAGGTGCACAGTCAAGGCCTTTCATATAGTTTTTCTCTAGCTTCAGCTTCTGCCTGAGCAGAGCCTAACTGGCCCATCCAAAGCCTGCAATTCCTTTTTCTACCCTACTAGCCCCATAATAAAGCTTTCCTTGGTCTTACCCAGCCTGAAGTGTGACCCTCTGGTCAGGGCATAACCTGTCTCCTGAGAGCAGTTTGTTTGGCCATCTCCCTCACTCAGCAGTGGCACTTAGGGTAAGGGTACAGCGTGGCCTTGTCTCAGTGTGTGCAGGACACCTTATGATCTTTCCCTTACCCCACTGACCAGCCTTATGACCTTGATCTGACCCAGTGCTGGACTTGGGGTCAGCTGCTTTTCCTGTCTTAGGGGGTTCTAAGGATTCACTGAGAAGGATGGAGGGTCTAGGGGAGAGCTGAGTCTGTCCTCAGTCTGTTCCCTTTACTTTTGCTCTCCATTCTGTGGAGTGAATCACAAACCCTGAGCCTCAGTTTCCCCATATTCTGCCTCGGTTATGAGTCTATTGGACCAGACTTGGTATTTAATTGACGCCTTCTATAGAAGGGAGGGGTGTCCCTGAGGGGATGTCAGAAAAAAAAAAGCTTGGTTGAACCCCTGCTGTAGTTGAAGTCTTGAAACGTTGGCTGACAGGGCAGCAAAGCGGTTTTTTTTGTTCTTGGAGGAGGTCTGCACAGCATTAGCCAGGTGGAGTATTGTCTCCTTGGGGTGGTGGTCCACCTTCTCTGGAAATAGTTTCAAGAGGTTGGGTATTGGCCACATTTGAGGTTGACTTGATGCTGTCTTTAGAACATTGGGTACCCCTGTGGAGAGGGGCACCAGGGAGAGACTTGCAGACCCACATGCTGCCACCTGTACCTTTCCTGCTTTTCAGGTGGACCCCAAGTTCCTGAGGAACATGCGCTTTGCCAAGAAGCACAACAAGAAGGGCCTAAAGAAGATGCAGGCCAACAATGCCAAGGCCATGAGTGCACGAGCTGAGGCCATCAAGGCCCTCGTAAAGCCCAAGGAGGTTAAGCCCAAGATCCCAAAGGGTGTCAGCCGCAAGCTCGATCGACTTGCCTACATTGCCCACCCCAAGCTTGGGAAGCGTGCTCGGGCACGCATTGCCAAGGGGCTCAGGCTCTGCCGGCCAAAGGTCAAGGTCAAGGCCAAGGCCAAGGATCAAACCAAGGCCCAGGCTTCAGCTCCAGTTTCAGTTCCAGCTCAGGCTCTCAAAGGTGCCCAGGCCCCTACAAAGGCTTCAGAATAGATATCTTTGTCTGCCAATGCGAGGACAGAAGGACTGGTGTAACTCCCCTGGGGCTGCCATCTGCATGGGGCTGGGGTCCTCCTGTGCTATTTGTACAAATAAACCTGAGGCAGGATTAGTTAGCCTCTGTCTATGATCCTGGGGCTGGGGTTGGTTGCTCCATCTGTTGGTGTGGGAGAAGACTAGCTTTCTGTGGAGGGTGGGTTGTGGGTGGGAGTCAGGAGATGGGGCCCTGAAGTGAAAGAGCGGACCTAATGAATGAGAAATGATTGGGGGCTTGTGGGAAGTTTCGACACATAGCTTGTTGAACTGGGTAAGCTGTCGAGCAAAGGGAGAAATCTTAAACATCCTCATGAGGTCTTGAAGCGTACTCCAAGGGAGGGGAACAGGCTCCACTGAGCAGCTCTGCACTCTGGCCCGAGGTGTCCCAGACTGAAGCTCTTGGTGCACCCGGTCAGCATCCACTGCTCTGGGTTGTGTTAGTTCCCCAACAGCTAGGAACCCAGGAAGGCAGGTGGTGGTGGCATTGCCTTACTCCCATGACTGTTTCTGATCCTGCTGTGCCCCTGGGTCAGCTGCTTCACATGTAGACCTTGTCCTCAGCAGACTATGGAGGAGTAAAGTAGCAGGGAGCATTTGTGGAGGCTTCCTGTAGAAGGCTCCAGGTGGAGCACTGTTCCTGGCTTTACTTAATCCTCAAAACCAGCAGTGGTCCAACCTTGGACACTTGTGGAAACTCAGAAAGGGGTGCTGTGCTAGAGCAGCAGGTGCAGCCCGTGGCATGTGATCATATACTTTTGAAGTAGATACGTGTTTATCTTTGTTTGTGTGGGGGATGTGGGGGGTAGCATTTGATCCTAGCCAGTCCATGTGGGCCCCTAGGAAGTTTCAGTTGTCCAACCAGGGCTGAGGCTCGGTAGCTGTTGACTGTAATCCTGGTAGTCTCCGTAGATGGCCAGTTGCCCCTTGCCAAGGTGTGTCAGGTGGAGGTGGTGGTCGAAAGGGAGCAGAAGCAGGTTTTGTGTTCTGAAGGTGGTTTGGCCCAGACAGGCCACCAGGTTGGTTGACTTCCAAGTGAAGTCTCTGTGCTGGTGTCCTGGACATGGGGTGTGAAGGCTTTCCTTTCCCCATCCTGCTGAAAAACTAGTGATCCCTTTACAGAGTCCCAGTCTGAGGGTGGCCAGCTCAGGGCTTCAGCTAGACTTAAGGTCACAGTCAGATGCTGCTCTCAGCCTCCAGCTTGTACGTGGTATTTGCCTTGTGCTCAGGAAGCACAAGCCCCCAGTTCTTGAGTCTCAACTCCTTCACCTCCAAGCTCAAGCTCTAGACTAGGGCAAACTATATTAGTAGAACCTGCTTCTTTTTTTTTTTTTTTTTTTTGAGACAGTCCTGCTTTGTTACCCAGGCTGGAGTGCAGTGGCGTGATATTGGCTCAATGCAACCTCTACTCCCTGGGTTCAAGTGATTCTTCTGAATTAGCCTCCAGAGTAGCTGGGACTACAGGCACGTGCACATGCTGCCATGCCCAGCTAATTTTTTTTTTCTTGTATTTTCAGTAGACATGGTTTTGCCATGTTGCCCAGGTTGGTCTTGAACTCCTGAGCTCAGGTAGTCGGCTCTCCTCAGCCTCCCAAAGTGTTAGGATTACAGGTGTGAGCCACTGCGCCTGGCCAGTGCACCCTGTTTCTAGACCGCTAGTAGGACCTGGCATCCATCGCAAGATTGCTGTGAGAGTTCAATGAAAAGTAAGTCTTAAGTCCTGGCTCCTGGTCAACTGGGAGGAGGAGTGATTGTTACTTCTATTAGTACTAAGCCTGCAGCCCAGAGCCAGGCTCTGGACTTCTCTTCTGGCTACAGCTAGAAATTTTAAAAATCCAACCACTCCGCCCCATCCCTAACTCCCCTGCCCCATGCTCAGAGAAGTCATACAGGATATAGAGCAGATCCATTAGAGCAGGCTCTGCTCGTGGGGCCATAGTTTACTCTTGGTACTGCCTGTGGGCCTAGCAAGGTTGAGATGGAAGCCCAGTTTCTGGGCCTCTGCACACACAGATCCAGGGTGATAAGGACCCTAAGATGAACTGACTTAGTCTACCAGGGCCACTGCCTCTCTATGTCCCCTGTTGCCAACACCAGGGTGCACAGGGTTTGACAGGAGCCAGCAGTCACGGTTGGCCCTCTGCCTGCCCCTCATGAGGGGCCTAACTGGTGCTATTCTGGTCCTGTGTTAGGACCCCAGATGTACCCCTAGAAAGGGAGTGGTTCCTGCGGAACTTGGTATCCCCCTTCAGTGAGAACGGAATCCCTGACAGGTCAGATCTAAGTATGGTGGCCAAACAGGAACTGGCCCTTTCTTGCTAGGCACAGATGTGGCTGGATGGTACTGAATGGGTGTGCTGTGTCTAGGGGCACAGAGCAGTGTGGGGAAGTGCCCAGAGCCAGGCTCATTTCTTCATCTGTGAAATGGAGATAACATGTCCGCAGGGAAAGGAAAATTCTTGCTCCATGAGTGTCTTGCTGTTAGTACTTCAGAGACAGTCCTGTCCACAGACTTTATTATTTGGAAGGGGGAAGAGGGGGTCATTGGTACTGGTTGGGATGGAAGCCCCAGGGGCAGAGGTTGAGGAATTCCAGGGCTCAGCTCTCACTGGGCAGGGCAGGCACACTGGCAAGGGCAGGCAGCAGGTGTGTATATATGTCCACCCCACGGAGGAACACGGCCTCATGCAGCCGCTCATCATGGTCATGCAGCAGCACAGGTGTGCGGTTCATGGGTGAGAAGCCTAGAGCTGGGACCCCCACCTGCAGGGGTGAGAAGCTGTTAGGGGAAAGCCAGCACACAGGCCCAGTTCACTGCCCAGGCACTACGTGCAAGTGGCTCACCGCGCGGAGATAGCGGCTGTCGGTGGCAGCAGGGCAGATCTCAGGCTCCAGAGTGAGGTTCCTGGAGGAGGAAGAGCCTGATAAATGGGAAGGGAGATAGGGAAGAGGACAAGGGAAGAATTGAAGAGGCAAAGGAAGGTGGGAGAAGGGAGGGGGCAGCAGGAAGGAGAGGAGTAGGGGGCTGGGTTTGAGGAGAGCTGGCCAGCGTGCTCACAAGTCCTTGCAGACCCCGCTAAAAGCTGCCCACCAGGGGTTTGAGTCATCAGTAGGTGTCACTTGGGGCTGCGTCCACTTCTGGGGAATGGGAAGGATGGCAGGATCAGGACATGGTTCTGGGCATCTTCCATAAAATAGGCTGCCTGGCACAGAACACCTCCCCACCCCCACCCCTTCAACTACCCAGACATCTGGGTGGCCAGTCCAGCCACAGGTCTGGAGCCTAGGTGACAAAGTGAGACTCTCAGAAAAAAGTACTATCACATAAATGTTTGATTTATGTCTGTCTCCCCATTTCACTCCACAAGGGCATTAACTGCCTAATTTTACTCCCCACAGCATTCCCCAGCACCCACAGTGGCCTCTACAACTAATGCTTGTTGGAATAAAATGTGTCACAGATAAATCCCCAGACATGCACACACTCTACTGTCGCATACTTGGGTCTCCCCCAGCCCTCACACTCCCCCCTCACATGACCCAAATCCATTCATACCTGACCAAACTCAAAGGTGACCCCCTCACCAGCTGCCTGGCACCAGCTCTGCAGCTGCTCCTCAAAAGCCTAAGAGAAGGGGGATGAGCTGATCCCTCAGGCTTTCCAGGGGCCACTAGGACAAGATTGAGGACCCAGGATCCCTCCTCCAAACCCAGGTGGAGGTGGCACCTTTAAGTCCACATCCGGTGCCACGCGGAAGTCAAAGCTGGCGCTCATAGTGGCAGGTACCACGTTATAGGCCACGCCACCCTCTAGCTTAGTCAGGTTCACAGAGGTCACGGCCCCCTCTTTCAGGTGGGGGTTTGACTGCAGCCTGTGGTGCCAGGGTAGGGTAGGGGCAGCAACAGATCAAAGGAGGCGGCTCAGACTCCATCCTCTGTAGTACCGCCTCCCAGAGCCACCCCTACCATTTCCCAGGCTGTCTTACCTCTGCCATTCCTTCTCCCGGAATGCCAGGATGGAGCTCACAACCTTGTGCTACAAGAGTATGAGGTTAGATGGGACAGTGGCCTCAGGATAGAGCCTCCTGAACTCCCAGACTCCCTCCCGGGGTGCCACACACCAGCTTCTCTGCTGCTGTGTCCTCGATGAAGCGCGAGCCGTGGCCTGGCCTCCCAGTGCTGGTGATCCGCACCCCTGGGGAGGTGTAGGGGAAAGGGAGTGTCTTCAGCACGAGAGGGGCTGGAGACACAGTCAGCCCTGGGGGAGTCCAGGTCTCCCCCTCCTTCCAGGCTTCTCTGGCCTGGCCCTGTCTGCCCTCAGGGCCCATAGCATAGAGCTGGTTTCTGCCCAGTCAGGGCTTGCCCTCAGAGAAGCTCAGGTAGGAAGCGGCCGGGTGGCAGAGGCCCTGGATTCAAGGCCTTCTCAGGTCTTAACTTACTGTGTAACCCTTCGTAGGACTGCCGTTTCTGGCCTAGCCTCCCACCTGCAGAGTGAGCCCTCCCTCCAAGCTCATACTTACACCAGGGACTCCGCTCGCTATAAAAGACAGTGAAGGCATCAGTGGGGTTGGCCAGGCCTGAGGAGGGAAAGGGGGGTTCAGAGGATAGAGTGGCCCAGCCCCCACTAGCAGCCTCCTACCCCATCTGGCTGCTCAGTGGCTTGCCAACCTGCTTACCCTCATCCAGGGCAAAGCCTGCCCTCAGGACCTGGAACTCTGGCCGCTGCACGAACAGCTCCATGCCTTGGTGACCCCCGACCTCCTCGTCTGTAAAAGTGGCAGGGACATGAGATGAGGAGGCTGCCCCACCCCACCATCCCCTTTCCCAAAGGTATCTGAGCCACTCCTACCAGGCACAAAGGTCATGTGGATGGTTCTGGGGAACTGGTGGCCCTCCACCTTCAGCCTCCTCACAGCCTCCAGGTACCTGATGGGGCATAAACCAGGTGTGGGGAGAGCCACCTGATGCTCAGGCTGGCCCGGCAGGCAGGGACAGGCAGGGCCAGCAGGCTGGATTCCTGTGCCCTGGACTCTACCCTACCATACCCTAGTAGGGATTCCAGAAAGTCCCTGCTCCTCTCTGGGCTCAATCTCCCTATCCATGCCATGGTCATGGCAGTAATTCTTCTCCAAGGGGTGAAGGTGTCCCTTGGCCTTGAGTTTCTCCAATCACCCTCCAGGTCCTGGGTCAATCCATTGGACCAGTGGGGACATTGTGGGGAAGTGGGAATGGAGGACACTCACTGGATGCTGATGCACTTCATATCCTGGGCACCCCTGGCATAGATGTAGCCCTCAGAATCCTTGAAGGCCTCAAAGGGGTCGTGACTCCAATATTCCTGGGGGCAGGGATGGGAAGAGGGGCCCAAAACCCAGATTTAGTCATTGATCCACTCTGGTCAGTGGTGGCCCTGCTGTAGGAGCCCACCATAGGCTTGGAATGACAGAAGGAGTGGTTCGGGGGAAGATGTGGGCTGAAGAAGGCAGCTGATTACCACCCCCCAATCCCCACCCAACTCTGGCACAGAACTGTTGCTGGATGAAGGCCGCTTGAGTGGTGTAATGTCATAAGGACATTGAGAGTTAGTGCCAGGACCAGAACCAGGACCATGGGCTCCCTGAGGTTGGATCATGGGGTCTGCATCATGTCTGTCCCCAAGGCCTGCACTACCCACCTCCCCAGCCCCTTACACACCTTGAAGACAGGCACCACATCCGTGTGGGAGTTGAGCAAGATGGAGGAGAGTGTAGGGTTGGTGCCTGGCCAGGTCAGCACGGTCACCACATAGCCAGGTGCCACCTGGAGAGGATGGGGGGGGTCCGAGCAGGGTGAGGAAGTGCCTAGGCCCACCTCCCCTCCCCACTTAGGGCCCCAGGCTCACCTCCACTTTCTGGCAGCTCAAGCCCAGCTGGCGGGCTCTCTCCTCAAGGAAGGCCACTGCAGCTCCTGGAGGCACACAGTGTCTTGGGGCCGTGTCTGCCTACCCATGGCTTCCCACTAGCCCAGGCAGCCCAGAGACTGGAGCAAACCCAGAAATGGACTGCTGCCTCCCCAACACAATCCACATCCCTCAGAGACACCTGCATTTCCATCCCCAAGAAAGAAGGTACTTTTGGCTAGTCAGTGACCCTTTCTGGAAGGTCAGGGGGATGTCCAGAGTTGGAGGAAGGTGTTATCTTCCTTAAATACGGTAAACTATGGCACAGAGACATGAAGAGATTCACCCACCATCTCTCAGCTCATTAATCAGAGCAGGAATTTGGACCCATATACACAATTCCCAGCCATTTGTTTTTTTTTTTTTCCTTTTCCTTTTTTTTTTCAAGACAGGGTCTCACTCTGTCACCAAGGCTGGAGTGAAGTGGTGCGATCTTGGCTCACTGTAGCCTCGACCTCCCAGGTTCAAGTGATCATCCCACCTCAACCTCTCCCAGGTTCAAGCGATCATCCGACCTCAACCTCTCCCAGGTTCAAGCGATCATCCCACCTCAACCTCTCCCAGGTTCAAGCGATCATCCCACCTCAACCTCTCCCAGGTTCAAGCAATCGTCCGACCTCAACCTCTCCCAGGTTCAAGCGATCATCCCACCTCAACCTCTCCCAGGTTCAAGCGATCATCCCACCTCAACCTCTCCCAGGTTCAAGCGATCATCCCACCTCAACCTCTCCCAGGTTCAAGCGATCATCCCACCTCAACCACCCACAAAGCTGGGGCTACAGGTGGGCCACCATTCCTGACTAATTTTTGTATTTTTCTGTAGAGACAGAGTCTTGCCGCATTGCCCAGGCCAGTCTTGAACTCCTGGGCCCAAGCAATCCGCCAGCCTCAACCTCTGGAAGTTCTGGGATAACAGGCAGGAACCACCTCCCAGGCCCTAGCTACTAAGCTTGAATCCCTAGGGGCTGCGGCCTTTGTCCAGCCCCAGTAGGCTTCTGGAGGGCCTCTCCTTCCCCTGTGGCTGCCCCAGGCTTCCCCCACCCCTCCCACCCTGGGGAGTAAGGTGAAGTTTTTCCTTAAGCAGCTGCCAGGAGTAACCTTTACAACAGCAGAGCCTCTGGGGAAAGGGTTCCTCTATAACCTGGAGAGGCTGCCTCAGTCCACTGACTTGGGGAATGGCTGGAGGGGGTGGGGAGCCGTTTGGGGCAGCGGAGTGGGGCTCAGCTGGGTGACAGGGGTTGGAGGCTGGTTTAAAGCACAGTCCCCATCCCTTAGGCCCTGTCACAGGCTTTGGAACGACCGTCTTCTCACCATAGTCAGGCTTGGGTTGGACGGTGCGGATGCGAAGGTACTGGCGGAAGAGCGTCACGGAGGGGTGCTCCTCCTCGGGACCCTTGCTGGTCATGGCGCTGTGCTTGGTGAGCTGGGGACAAAGAATGGCTAACTACCCCTCCCAGCCACTAGACCCGGTGCGCTCCTGCACACAGCCCATCCCACGGCCGCTCCCGGATCTCCCACAGTGGGAGGATACCGTGTCTCGGAGCCCCTGTTAAGGAGCACCCATTCGGTTTCAGGCGCTGGGCTGTCCACTTCCAGCATATTTCCTTATTTAATGCCCAAAAGAGCGTCATGAAGTTTGTACTCAAAATGCCCACTTTACAGAGGAGAAAGCTGAGAGGCTCAGAGACGTTCAAGGACAGCTCAGAAAGTAGCTGAGCCAGGTTTGAACCCAGAGTTGTCCTCCCCGCGCCCTCCTAAGAAACAAAAAATCCAAAACAGCCGGGCGCAGTTAATCACGCCTGTAATCCCAGCACTTTGGGAGGCCGAGGCGGGTGGATCACGAGGTCAAGAGATCGAGACCATCCTGGCCAACATGGTGAAACCCCGTCTCTACTAAAAATACAAAAAATTAGCTGGGCATGGTGACGCGTGCCTGTAATCCCAGCTACTCAGGAGGCTGAGGCAGGAGAATTGCCTGAACCCAGGAGGCGGAGCTTGCAGTGAGCCGAGATTGCTCCATTGCACTCCAGCCTGGGTAACGGGAGCGAAAATCCGTCTCAAAAAAAAAAAAAAATCCAAAACACCTCTCAATTGCCCGGCTTTCAAGCCACGGAGTCCCAGTCGATCCACCCCTTCCCAGGGGCCCCACCTCACTCTCCTGTCGCTGGACTCAGGCTAGTCCCTCAACGACAGCCCCAGACTGTGAACTGGACTCAGGGTCCTGCAAGGTCGAAGGCTCAGCACCGCCCCGGTCCGCCACACCACGTGGCCGGGTCCTGATCTCGGGGCGGAGACCGAAGACCGCCAGTGAGGGCGGTCTCAGCGCTAGCTGCCGCGTCTGCACGGACTTCCCCGCCCGCCTCTAGTGCCGGCCTCAACCGGATTACTGGAGGTTTAGTCTGGGGCCGGCCGCGGCCCGCCGGGACTAGCAAGCAGCGAGCTACGGGTTGGCCCCGCCTTGACAGGCCCGCTCCTTCCCACACGACACGCCTGCCACTCCTGCCTGGGCCTGCGCCTGGAGCTCAGGACGGCCCCGCCCCCCGAGGGCGCCTCCTCCTTCAGCCTCCGGATAGGGCGGGAGGAGAGGAGGCCGCCCCGAGGCTCTCCGCTGCAGAGCTGCAAAGCCCTCGGCCTGCGCCCCTGCCCTCCTCGGCAAGTCTCCAACAGGTCCGCTTTGCACGCCTCAGCCTCTCGGGGAGGTCCTCCCTGACGCCTTAGCTCCGCTTGTACTGGTTACTGGCCAATGTCTGTCCGCCCCACCTGTGAGCTCCAGGAGGCTGTGAGCTCCGCTTCCTGCAAGGTTTGCCCCTGGCCGGGCCTAGCCCGGACACCGTGCCAGGAATGAGGATAAATGCATGGACAGGAACACGTGTGATGGTGTGAGCATGCCACTGCGTGTGCAGTCTACCAGTGGGTATGATCGTGTGTGTGACAGTGCGAGATGGTGGGTGGGTGTGATGATGTCACTGTAAGTGGATGTAACTGCGACCCTGGATGACAGTGAGGAAACTCTCTGGCTCTTCTGCAGACACGGGAGAGGGAGGCTAAACAGGCACAGGTGTCCCACCGGCCCCCTGCAAGCCACAGCTGCAGTTGTCCACTTAGGCACGAGCCGCCCTTTGTACTCCCAGCCAGGTCTGCCCTCTGTTCCAGGGGCTGAGTCAGCTTGGGGAAGGGTGAGAGACAAAGACTTCAATCTCTAGGCCAAGGTGCAGGCTGTGGGAGGGGGTCTGTCCCACTTTTCCTGAGAGTTAAGTCTTGGCTGCTCACACATAACATAGGGGCAAATGGATTTTAACTCAGAACAATGCTGGCTAATTCTTTATTTAGGTATTTTTTTCATACAGAGTCTCACTCTGTCATGCGGCAAACAGACTTTAACTCATAACAATGCTGGCTAATTATTTAGCTATTCATGCGGGCAAACAGACTTTAACTCTTAACAATGCTGGCTAATTATTTAGCTATTTGTTTTTTTAATATGGTGTCTCACTCCATTGCCCAGGCTGGAGTGCAGTGGCTTGTTCTCAGCTCACTGCAAACCACCTCCTGGGTTCAAATGATTCTCCTGCCTCAGTCTCCCGAGTAGCTGGGATTACAGGTGCCTGCCACCACATTGGCTATCTTTTGTAATATATATATATTTTTTGAGACATTGTTTCACTCTTGTTGCCCATGAGTACAATGTCGTGATCTCGGCTCACCGCAACCTCCGCCTACCAGGTTCAAGCAATCCTCCTGCCTCAGCCTCCTGAGTAGCTGGAACTATAGGTGTGCGCCACCACACCCAGCTAATTTTTGTATTTTTAGTAGAGATGGGGTTTCTTCTTGTTGGCCAGGCTAATCTTGAACTCCTGACCTCAGGTGATCCACCTGTCTTGGCCTCTCAAGGTGCTGGGATTAGAGACATATGCCACTGCACTCAGCCAATGCTAATTCTTAAATCGCATTCCCCACACCCTCCAGGTTCCTGACTCCCTCAGCTTGGTTGTCCAAACCCTGGATTTCCCACCAATCCCAGTAGTCATGCAGCAGCGTAATACACCCTGCCTCCCACAGCAATCCCCCACCCTTATATGGCCAAGTACTCAGTTGTCCAGACTCATTCAGTCCTACAGCCACCCTCCAACCTAGTAGTTGCCATCATACCTGTTTTACAGATGAGGAAACTGAGGCACGGAGTGGTGAGGTCAGGCACTTAGGAAGTGATGCACTCCTAGCCTTCCCGGGCTGCTGGAGCATCCCCTCCAGCTCCCAGGCCCAAAGTAGTCCCAGACTTGCCTCCCACTCACGTCTCTACCGCAGCACACCAGGAAATGGAACCTGTCACTTCCCAAGCAGGACAAATATGCTTTTTTATTGTGTCTGTGAGATGAAATGAGAAGTCCTGGCTGGGTCTAACCCTCTGGCCTCTGGCCTCCAATCCCAGGGGCTGTCTCCCTGGTTGGGGGAGGGTGGCAGTCCAGACTGTCCAAGTTCACGCCAGGCTGGGACTGGGGAGTGGGTTAACTCAAGGTAGATGGTCAAGAAAGGCAAGCAGGGCAACGTGGAAGTCTTGTGGCTTATGGAGGTAACAGGCATGGCCTGCATTATGTAGCTTCACCACGGAGTGGTTGGGCAGGTGGCGGAGCTGCCGCAGTGACTCTCGAGCCAGGATTTGGTCCAGCTCTCCATACAGGATAAGGGTTGGAGTCTGCAGGGCAAGGCAGGGGGCTGTGACCCTGGGGCCTGATGAGTATCTGACCCCCAAGCCACTTTCTAGGAAGCCTTCCCCAAATACCCCAATTCTTCCATCCAAGATCAGGGATAAGGCCATGTCCCCCCAAGTAAGACTTGAGTCCTGAACCCCTGCCCCCCCCCCAAGCCAGGGACAGGATGCCAGGAACTTTGAGATCCTTTTCCTAGTACCTTCACAGCCCAGAATTGCTCCTGGGTGTAGTTCTGGGTGGAGGTGGGTGCGATGGGCACGAATCCATGTAGCTGGTGGTGGCCTCGCATCAGGAAGGGCAGGGCATAGCGGCCACTCAGCGAGGGGCTCACCAACACGGCATTCTGTACCTCCAGGTCCCGCAGTGCTTTCGCCAGCAGCTCTGCCCGCCCTGCCTCTGTGCTTGCCTCCTTCGAAGATGCTGAGTTCCCAAAACCTAGGAACAGCAGCAGGTACCAGCTGAGGGGCACTGGGAAGGGGTGCAGGACTTCCTACCCACCACAGTGGAGGAAAAAGTTGGGGACCAGTGGCACTGGCACACACTACCTAAAACTGCCCAGAAGTTTTTTTTGGTAATGTGATACCCCTGTTAGAAAAGCATATCTTGGATGCTGGGTGCAGTGGCTCATGCCTGTAATCCCAGCACTTTGGGAGGCCGAGGTCGGTGGATCACCTGAGGTCAGGAGTTCGAGACCAGCCTGGTCAACATGGTGAAACCCCATCTCCACTAAAAATACAAAAATCAGCCGGGCGTGGTAGCGCACACTTGTAATCCCAGCTACTCAGGAGGCTGAGACAGGAGAATTGCTTGAACCCAGGAGGCGGAGGTTGCAGTGAGCCCAGATTGCGCCAATGTGTGCTAGCCTGGGCAACAAGAGTGAGACTCTGTCTCAAGAAAAAAAAAAAAAAAAAAAAAGAGAAGCATATCTTGGCCTGGCAAGGTGGCTCATGCCTGTAATCCCAGCACTTTGGGAGACTGAGGTGGGCAGATCACCTGAGGTCAGGAGTTTGAGACCAGCCTGGCCAACATGGAGAAATCCCATCTCTACTAAAAAATACAAAAATTAGTGGGGTGTGGTGATGTGTGCCTGTAATCCCAGCTACTTGGGAGGCTGAGGTAGGAAGATCGCTGGAACCCAGGAGGCGGAGGTTGTAGTGAGCTGAGCTCACACCACTGCACTGCAGTCTGGGCAACAGAGTGAGACACTGTCTCAACAAAAAAAAAAAAAAAGGAAAAAACATATTTTTCATTCATCATAATATTAGCAAAGTGAAAAGGACTGAAGTAATACCCAGTGTTGCGGAAGACATGGGGAAATGGGCACTTTCATACATGACAGAAGGCAGGATAAATCCATACAGCCTTTTTGGAGGGTAGGCAGTAGTTATCTAAATTTAAAAATGCACTTCCTTTGGCCCATCAATTGTCTTCAGTAGCTACCCTAGAGAAATTATAGCTTACATGCTCAAAGAATCATGTCCAAAGATGTTTCAGCTACATTACTTGAGCATTCTGCCAGTAGAGGAATGGCTGGATAAAGCCCATCCATCCCTCCTGTGGCACACACTGCAGGGTTAACACTAGAGAGGGAGGTTTGCAGGGACGTGCAGGATCCTCAAGACATGGTATAGGGGGAGAAAACCCCCCTGCAGATGGATGCACTAAGCAGGCAGGACACCAATCATGTTTACAGCCCCCACCAGACAAGCCTCCATATTGAGTGGGAATACCCAGAAGAGGGTGTAGCATCCCCTAAACTTCTTAGAGAGGGAGAGAAATGTGGCATTGGTCTCTGAAAGCTTGCTAGTTTTTCGATTTTTTTTTCATCCTCTATGACTCGATGACATTTTTTTGCTTTTTCTAATGACAAGAATGATAGCATAAATCATTCGTGTACTTAAAAACACAAAAAGCTATATAGTTTGTCATAGAAAGTATACTGCTTGGCTGGGCGCAGTGGTTCACACCTGTAACCCCAGCACTTTGGGAGGCCGAGGTGAGTGGATCGTCTGAGGTCAGGAGTTCGAGACCAGCTTGGCAGGATGGTGAAACTACTTCTCTACTAAAAATACAAAAATTAGCTGGGCATGGTGGCAGGCACCTGTAGGAGGTGGAGGTTGCAGTGAGATCATGCCATTGGATTCCAGCCTGGGCAACAGAGGGAGATTTGTCTCAAAAAGAAAAAAAAAGAAAGTACACTGCTTATGAAGTGAGTCACATTTCTATTTGCTCTGTTACCTACAATTCACACTGTAGTTTTCGTGGTAGAAAATAAAAACACAGACTTTTTCATAGTGCCACCTTATGCTATGACCTGCCACTGCTTGTCCAGACACTGGGTCTTAGGGCTTAGAGCTTCCTTAGATGAAGGGGTGGGGATGCTCACCTGGAAGGTCAAGGGCCACGGCCCGGTAGCCCCTCTGCGACAGCAGCTGCAGTGTGCCCAGCTGCTCCCACGTGTGCGAGTTAAAGGCCTTTCCATGAAGCAGCACCACCTGCACCCTGCAGGCACATGGGAATGTGTGTGCTGAGGACCTGGTGTAGCCCGCCTTTCTTTCTTCTTAGCCTTCTCCCATTGCCCTCCCAGGCCCTGAACACCTTGAGTATAATGGGGGTCCCACACAGGGACTCCCCTTGGGCCTAGTCTGTCCACTAGACCCTTGGGGCAGCACCTACCTGCGAGCCCGGTTGAGCGGGAGCACCTCGCGGTAAAAGATGGGGGAGTTGCCAGGGGTGAGACCAGCCAGGACTGTGACATTGGGGTCTCCCCAGAGCCAAGAAGTCTGCTTGAGGGGGCCTGGCAGCCCCACATACAGTAGGAGCATGAGCAGCAGACCTAGGCCCAGCAGGGCTACCTGGGACCGGCTCATGGAGGTCTGTACCACAGTCTGGAGGAGTAGAGAAGAGGGAGAAGAGGCTGGGACTGAGCCCCTACAAATGCCCCTGGACCCCATCCCAAAACCCCACCTAGAGTCCCCAGCTCTAGCCCTTGCCCTTTCCCTTGCTCTGGGAATAGGTCTGGGGTTTCACACCCAACTACTCCACATGCCAGGGCAAAGGCTCAGATACTTCACAGTATGAGGAAGTGTATCTGAGCTGTCCCATGGCACACAGCATGCTCCATGACTGCCGCCATCACAGCATCAGCTGAAACCACTATGGTTAATCGAGTGCTTATGACAGCAGGCCCTGTATGGCCCTTCACATACAAGGTTCTTTTCCACCAAGAACGCTGGGGAGCAGATGTGATTATAGGTCTCTTATAGGCGAGGAGATAGAGGCTCAGAGAGGTACATTCTCTTGCCCAAAGTGCCAAGTAGCAAGTGGGGGAATTGGGGTTTGAACCTAAGACTGGCCTTCTAACTACTAGGCCACTCGGATTGCCAAGGAGGAACCTGTAGAGCTGGGAGGTGATGGATGAACTGGAGCCTTGCTGGTGGAAAAAGTGGTGAGGGCAATCAAAGGAGAAAGACAAAGTGCAGAGGGACTTCCCGCTTGAGGGCATGTTTGGAAATGGTGCTTTTCATCTCACTGCATTTAATACTGCTAAAATCAGAACGTGCTTTATAATCACATATAACTAACAGTCTACCCCAGCTGTTTCGAAGAGGCTCACAGAGAATGTCTGTGGTAGAGGAAAATGCTGAAGAGTGAGGGGCTGCAGGGCCAGGGAGGAGTGTGGTACACCTAGAAACGAAAAGTGCGGTGTGGAGTTTGGAGAGATGAATGCCGCCTGCCACTCCCCATCCCACACCCAGCTTCCGGCCAAATGACCTGCTTCATGGACTTCTCCAGTTTGGGGTCTGTGCCACCCCAGAGGACAGCCCTTAGGACCCAGGACTCAAATGGGGCAGCCCTTTGAGACTGCCACTTCCTGGCACGTGACTTCAGTTTGTCAGTAAGATGGGATAACCTCGTGGCTACCCTCCCAAGCTTCCTGTGAGATTTAGATAATACCGTGGGCTGGAACAGGGCTGTTCCTGTCATTTCTTGGGCCTAGGATGAGCACACTTGCTTCGTTTGGGGAGTTCAGCAAGCACATCTTTGAGTGCCAATTGGGCGCCTGCCAGAGCTAGGAGCCAGGGGCCTGTCTTGGGCCCTACTCATCCCTCCGGGATGTTTTGGGGATGTTTCCCGAGCCCGCATCCCTAGGCTCCGGGGTCGGGGGGTTTGTGGTTGGCAGCCTCTCTGATGTTTCTGAAAAACCAGGACCTAGTGGAGGAAGAGCAGGTTCCTGTTTTCTTCCAGACCACGAACAACCTTGGACGCGCATCTCCAACGGGCGTTAGCCCATGTTCCCGCCGAGCGTGAGGGACCTTTCCTTGCTGTCCACCCGGGGCGCCCCCGCGCTTCTCCAAGGAGGTAAGGGCGGGGCTTAGGCTGTTGCCTTGGCAACCCAGGTTGCCAGCAGTACTAGGCAATTGTGGCGGACCTGCAGCTGGCTGCCTTTGGAGATATGCGGGGGCAGGGTAAACTGTGCCCGCGTTAGGTCATTGGAATATGCATGGACAATGACACCCAAGTGCACACACACAAAGACGAGTCTTGCCCCCACACACTTTCTTTAGTATAAGCTATTCCCTGCATATACATGCAGCCTCCTTGTACATGCAGCTTCCTCGCACACACACTGGCCCGTGTGCAATCAATCCCTTGTAATGGTACCCTCGAAATCACCTAAGCAGTCAGGCATCAGGAAGGCAGACAGACTGATGGCGACGCACACTTTCAAAACCACATGCTGATCCTCAGAAATACTCAAGCACTGTCATACATACAACCGTAAGACTACACGCTCACACAGGAAAGACACGTGCACAGGAAGGCAGACACACACACACTCACCAACCCCCAGAAATGCACACATACGCAGACAGGTAGACACATACCCTTAAAGTCACACGCACACAGAAATACACTCAGAAGACCCACACGGACACAAGCAGGCAGACATCAATGAACACACCCCCCAATATAAGCGTGCAGAAACACACCCTGACGGACACCACACAGGCACATGGGCATACACATACATACTCCCAGACCCTCGGGAACACACGCAGACCCTGCGCGCACACACAATACGCGCGCACACGCACACTCGCGGCCCCAGCGCCCGCTTCTTCCCCGGGACTCTGCCCCGGAGCGCCGGGGGCAAGGGGCGGGGTAAAGATGGCCCGCCCCCGGGCCACTGGCCGGCTTCTCGCCCCCCCCTCCCCCTCGACACTCACCGGGCTGAGCGGGAAGAGCTGGCGGGCCCCGCCCAGGCGGAACCAGCAGCCGCACAGCGCCCCGATCATGGCTGCCTTCGCCACTCCGCGGGCCGCTCCCGCTCTAGGCGTTCGGGAGCGCGGCCACCGAGGCGCGCTTGCGCACTCCGCAGCCGCCGGCCTGCCGCCCAGTTACCGAGTCGCCCGCGCCGAGTGGGTGCTGGGGGTAGAGCCCCAACTCTCTCTGGCCCGCCGCCTGCCCGGATTTTTGGAATTGTTTTTGACCTGAGGGCCGGCGGGGAGCCAGGTGGCTTCTTGCCAGCGGAACGTCTCCACCCTTGCTCAGTTCTCTGGCCTGTATAATGGAGTTAAGGATAAAACCCACCGCACAGGGTTGTCCTAGGTTCTTAGGGACAGGTCAAGCCTCAGAACAGTGTCTGGAGCAGAGGCCTCGTTGTGTAAATGTCAGATATTGTTAGGCAGTAGCTCCAGGTCTTGGCCCAGCCACTTTCCTGCCTTCTACCCACCCCACCCCACCCCGTCCCGATGCACACCCACGGTCAGAGCCTGGGCTGGCCCCTGGGGCTCCTTCAGGTCTACTCCTGGCACCAGCCCTGGTTGGAGATATGTTACCAACGTCTGGCCTGTCCCAGGCCCAAGGCTCTGTGTGGCGACCGGGCCCAGCACAGGGAGGCTGTGCAGAGCGTGGAGTTTACTCCGTATTGGTACCCTGCAGAGGTTGGCAACATCTGACCCGCTCTACAGGTAGGAAACAGGCTCGGAGGCATTGGGAAAACGATCAAGGCCACGTGGGGCCGGGCACTGTGGCTCAAGCCTGTAATCCCAGCACTTTGGGAGGCCGAGGCGGGTGGATCACGAGATCAGGAGATCGAGACCATCCTGGTCAACATGGTGAAACCCCGTCTCTACTAAAAAATATACAAAAAATTAGCTGGGCATGGTGGCGCGTGCCTGTAATCCCAGCTACTCAGGAGGCTGAGGCAGGAGAATTGCCTGAACCCAGGAGGCGGAGGTTGCCGTGAGCCGAGATCGCGCCATTGCACTCTAGCCTGGGTAACAAGCGCTAAACCCCGTCTCCAAAAAAAAAAAAAAAAAAAAGCCACTTGGCTGGACACTGGCGGAGCTCCTCACTCAAACCTGTCGGGCTTCAACTCCGTGCCAGGCCGTCAACTTGCCCTGGGCAGTTCTGGCTGGGGGATGAGGGGGATGGGGAGCAGGAAGAGAGCAGCAAGGATGCTATCCCGAAGGAACTTTCTTCTTCAGACTGCTCCATGTCATTGTGGGGCAGGTAGCTGAGGAGTTCGAGACCGTGCTCAGCACCGCGTTTGGGGCAAGTGGGACCGAGAGGCTTGGGGAAACAGGCCGCTGTGAGAACGACAGTTTAGCAGCGACTATGGACCCTGCGAGCTTGTGGCCACAAGAGGGCGTCCGGGAGTACGGCCCAGTCCCCGCCCCAGTTGGTTGGGGCCCGACCTCTTCCTCGAGTTCCTCCTCCGGCCCCATCCACCGTCAGCACTCGCCTGCTTCCCTTCTGCGCGAGCCCACACAGCTCCCCAGGTACCCGCCCTGCGCTCCTGACCTATTCTTCTCTCCAGTCAAAACCCAACCCCACCTACCCCAAGTCTTCCTTTCTCGGATTCCTGGGTCCCCTCCTTCGCGGTTGCTACCATTCCCTCTCCGTGCTCCATTCCAGACCTAGAGAGCCAGAACCGTGGTCCGCGGAAGGAAGCTGACCGCGCGGTCAACGCGTTTGGCCCCAGCTGGCAGCGCGTTGAGCACCCTGCTACCCTCTGGGTGCTTCGGTTTCCGCCTCTAGAAAATGGGCTTTCGGGTGTGGAGGCGAGCGCCTGTGGTTCCAGCTACTGGGGGGTGAGGCGGGAGGATCACTTGAGCCCAGGAAGGTCAAGGCTGCAGTGAGCCATGATTGCACCACTGCATTCCAGCCTGAGCGACAGAGCGAGATCCCTTCTCTTAAAAAAAAAAAAAAAAAAAAAAAAAAAAAGATGAAGAAAATGGGCTTTTAGTCTGGGCGCAGTGGCTCACGCCTGTAATTCCAGCATTTTGGGAAGCCAAGATGGGCGGATTACTTGAGGTCAGGAGTTCCAGACCAGCCTGGCCAACAGGACGCGACCCCGTCTCTACCAAAAATACAAAATTAGCCGGGCATGGTGACGAGTGCCTGTAAACCCAGCTACTCAGGAAGCTGAGTCAGGAGAATCGCTTGAATCCAGGAGGTGAGGTTGCAGTGAGCTGAGATCGTGCCACTGCACTCCAGCCTGGGCAACAAGAGTTTCCGAAAAAGAAAAAGAAAAAGGGCTTTTTACCCCAGTTTGGGCTCCCTCTGGCCTGCGTTGCCAATCTACGACCTGTAAACCTGTAACTTACTGTTGAAGTACCAGAGTGGGTACTTACTGCTGATTGAGCAGTGCCCCTTCCTATGTGGTAGGCATGGCACATGCATTGCCTTATTTAATACTGTCAACTACCTGTGACCTCGTGCTATTGAATTATCCCCATTTATAGAAAAGGATAATAACAATGAGAATAAGAACAGTAATCACAATGGGAGCCCCACATATTGAGTCTTTATAGCAGGCACCCCCACTGATAATTTTTTTCTTAAATTTACTTCCTAATTTTTGAGGTTGGGTTTATTGCTCCCATATTTCAGATCAAGAAGCTGAGGCCCAGGGTTACACAATAAAGTGAATGGCAGAGGCAGAAATAACATCTATGTCCTCCTGAGCCCAAAGCATGTTTCTAAAGTTCTGGAAGCCTCCTGGAGGCTTCCTTGCTGGTCCTGTGGGACTTCCATTCTGTCTGTGGCAGCCTCCCTGCTCCACCTGGGCAGGGTATTCTGTGGCCCCTCATCATCATGGCTTTGAATCACAGGCCCTTCACTGGCACAGCAGCGGCAGGCATGGCGGCAAACGTGGAGCAGCGTGAGGGCACCATCCAGGTGCAGGGCCAGGGTCTCTTCTTCCGAGAGGCCCGGCCCGGCAGTGGGCAGGTTCGCTTCTCTGTACTGCTGCTGCATGGTATCCGCTTCTCCTCCGAGACCTGGCAGAACCTGGGTACACTGCGCAGGCTGGCCCAGGCTGGCTACCAGGCTGTGGCCATTGACCTCCCAGGTACTTAAGGGGTAGCCTTCTGGGCAGGGGTTGGGGAGGTCTCATCAGGGATCCACAGGTCGGGGGTATAGGATCAGGAGGACCCAGCCAGGCTGGGCCCTGAGCTTGACAGAGTTTGGTCAAGCACACCGAAGGGCCTCTGAGCAGTCTTGATCCAGATGTGGTCCTCGCCACCCAGTTGCTCCTCACTGTTACCTGGGCAGTGTCTCAGTGTCTCTGAGCCTCTGTTTCCTCATCTGTAATGGGAAAAAACCACAGTCATGTTTGGGACTGGCTCTAATGAGAATGGGGTGAGATAATCCATGTGAGTATGTGGCTAGTACCTGACACAGAGTAATGGGTGCTCAGCAAACTGGAAGTAAAATATTTTGACCATGTCATAACCATAGGCTTTTGGAAGCCCTAAGGAGTGAGACCTGAGTCTTCTGAAGCCTTGGAATATGACATTGGGCCTGGTAGGTGGCCAGGCCCCCAGCTGTGATCCCACATGCAAAGCCCTGAGCTGGGTTCCAGGGGAGGTAGGGTCATAACCCAGATGGCTGGGTCCCAACCCTTGGTGCCAGGGGCAGCATGGCTGGCCCAATCCCCTCGTGCCAGGGATGGTATGGTTTCCACAGGGCTCAAGCGCAGGCCTCCAGCCCAGGCAGGATTGTTTCCAATGGTGAGTTGGCTTGAGCTTCAGGGTGAAGGTCTGGAGCTAATCTTGTTGGTGAAGCCTGAATGACTGGAGGAGAAGCTATGAGTGCAGAATCTGCCTCTCAGCCACTATCCTCCAGGAGCCTCTCCCGTGCCAATCCAGGGCCAGCTGCTTTTCACGCAGTTAATTTTCACAGTAATTTTAAATGGCAGATACTTTTGTTTTCTTCCTTTAACAGATGGGGAAACTGAGAAGCTGAGAGAGGACTGAGGGAACCCACCTGAGGTCACATATACAGGAGATGCAAAATTGGGTTCTGGACCCAGACTTATTGGGCTTCACAGCTTGTTTCTCTCCAGGACACTTAGTGCTGGGGAGACGGGCACAGACGTGGAGAGAAATGCATCATGCTTGGCACAGATAGGATAGAGTGAGGCTACTGTAGGAATAAACATGGGCACACTGGATGTTATAGGAACCTGGCCACAAAGGAAGTGACCTAGGAGGGCTTCCTGGAGAGAGGGACCATCTCCCTTGTTTTGCCATTCACTGCTCTGGTCTTGTCTCTTCTACACCTGAATCCCTGCAGGTCTGGGGCACTCCAAAGAAGCAGCAGCCCCTGCCCCTATTGGGGAGCTGGCCCCTGGGAGCTTCTTGGCGGCTGTGGTGGATGCCTTGGAGCTGGGCCCCCCAGTTGTGATCAGTCCATCACTGAGTGGCATGTACTCCCTGCCCTTCCTCACGGCCCCTGGCTCCCAGCTCCGGGGCTACGTGCCAGTGGCCCCCATCTGCACTGACAAAATCAATGCTGCCAACTATGCCAGTGTGAAGGTACCCTTGTGTGGGAAGCTGAGGTGTCCCTGCCAGGAGCAAGGAGCAACGAAGGATACATCCCTGGGCCTTCCTTATCTGGGGGCTGGGTAACCAAGGGGTGTCTTCTAGGAGGAGCTGGCCACCCAACTCCGCCCTTTTGGTTTACTCAGCAGGCTACTGTGCCAAGCCCTGTGCTAAACTGTGTTCTGGGGCAAACGCCAATCTGTGCCTCCATGCACTGGGCCAGCTTGTCTCTCTCCCTCATATGGGGTGGTCCCAGGGAGAGACTGAAGTGGTGGGGAGGGCTGGAGCTGATATAGCAGGTCCCTGTTGACTCTGCCCCCCACCCTTCCTTCCTCTCAGACTCCGGCTCTGATTGTATATGGAGACCAGGACCCCATGGGTCAGACCAGCTTTGAGCACCTGAAGCAGCTGCCCAATCACCGAGTTCTGATCATGAAGGGGGCGGGGCACCCCTGTTACCTGGACAAACCGGAGGAGTGGCATACGGGGCTGCTAGACTTCCTGCAGGGGCTGGAGTGAAGCACAGCACTGCTGCAGGGGGTGGGCTGCCTGCCTGCTCTGATATCTCTCTCTCTCTCTCTCTCTCTCTCTCTCTCTCTGTCTCTGTCTCATGCTCTCTCTTCTCTCATATGCTCTGGCCCATGCACATGCAACAGGTGCGTCTGTCTATATGTCTGCGTTCTTGTCTTTTGTAGTCTGTCTTTTCTGTTTCTTTCTTTTGCAGTAATAGACTGAGGAGGTAAAATCAAGAGAAAGAAACCTCAAGAATCAAGGAACATAATCCGGTGGAGGGTAATCCTTTAGATGAGCTTCTCCTGTTCTTCCACTTTCCTGCCTAGCTTTTACTCCTTCCTCTGCTCTGCCCAGCCTTCCCCTGCCACCTCTCCTCCTTCTCCAAATGCCTTGCAGGCCAGCTCTTCCCCCAACACCCACTTCCCCACATACATACATGCCTACCTGCACACTTACATGTTTAGAGCCATCCATGTTCCCCAATATGACCCTTCGCTTGAGAGCAACTGCATAGGTACACGTAACTCTGGACCAGCATGCACATTCTCATGTGCAGCTGTGCATATACACACATGCATACGTGAGGGGGTGTTTTCGTAGTGTAGTGGTTATCATGTTTACCTAACACATTCATACTTGAGCCTCCACACAAGCACTTGCACACATGAGCACTTCTAACCATGGCTGGGGAAGTGGGGACCCCTTGGGCCAGCCCTTGCAGGAGACCCTTTTGCAAGGCTTAGGGTGTGGCCAGCCCAGAAAGCTACTCAGCCACAGGTTTCAGCTGGCCCCAGGCCGGAAGTGGCCCCCAGAAAGGCAGGGCCACCACTCTGTCCCCTTGCTTTTACCATTCCTTCTGGGTGCTCTGCATCTCCCCAGGTTACCAAGCCTGAGGCTTCTCAGCGAAGCTTGATTCCTGCTCTGAGGCTTGAGGGGTGGGAGCCAGAGTGGAGGTCGGTAAAATAAAGTGATGCAATTAGATCTAACCGGCTCCAGCGCCTAAAAAGCGCCGCCCCTCCCCCAACCCTGGGACCAACACTGTGGGCCCCTCCCCCACTCCGGCAGGACCAGATGGTCCCCCTGCCCTTTGTCCACCAGGCCAGATGGAGAGGAAGGGAGATTGGATTCCCCTCCCCACCCACACATACCCAGGTGCCAAGAGACTCAGCTGCGGGGGGAGGTGGAGGTCAGTGGGTCCAGGCTGAGCCGATTATGAAGGAAAGGGGGAGGATAGTTGCTCCCCCGAGGGCGAGCGGGAGGAGGTCCGGGGGACTTGAGAACAGTTCAGCTCCTCCTCCACTACTATCCTTTCCCCAGTAAAAGACTCAAGAGAGCCCGTCCCTTGCGACCCTAACCCCAAAAGGAATTCCGGGGTTAGATTCAGGGTTATCACAGGGCCGGGTGCACAGGGCCACACGACTCTCTGGCCCCTCCTCCAGCCTGTCCTGCGCGGACCAGGGCCGGGCCCTGGTGTGGGTGGCCGAGGGGAGTGGGTCTCGGTGGGCGCGAGCCCGAGCGGAGGATGGCGCGCAGGGAGCAGAGCCTGGAGCTGGGCGGGGCGCGGGATCGCAGCTGGAGCTCTGAGGGACCCCGGCCCGGAGCGACGCGGAGGGGGGGCTGGCGGCGGGGCCAAGGAGGGGATGGCGGGGTGCAGGGGGCTCGGCAGAGGCGTCGGGCTGGCGGCCCGGGTTGGAAGGACTGGCCTGGCGGGAGCTGAGGGGCTCAGGGCCGGGAGCTGCGCTGGCGGCGCGGGGAAGGAGCTGAAAACCGCGCTTCAGTCCGGACGCCCCTGGTCGCAACCCGCCGGGCTCCGGGAGCGGCAGGGGAAGGGTCGCCCGAGCCCTCCCGGAAGCGGCCGCAGCTCGGGGCTCACCGCGGCGCGCGGGGCGGGGCGGGCGGCTGCGGCACTGGGGCGGCTGGGGCGGGCCCGCAGCGCTGTAATCGGATCCGGGGAGGGGGCGGGGAGGGGCCGGGCCGGGCGGGCCGGGGGGTTGGGGGGGGCGCGGAGCCGGGCTCCGGGCCGGCCGGGCTCCGCGCCTGTCAAACCCCTCATTGTTCGCAGCTGATGTCACTCGCAGTTGTGAGCGGCCGCCTCTCCCGGGGACAATGTGGGACTGAGCGGCCCAGCCGCCGTGCCGCCGCCGCCGCCGCTGCAGGACAGCCCCAGCGAGGTAGGGCGCGGGCCGGGCGGGGCACGGCGGGCCGCGAAGTTTGGGGGTTCGTCCGGGGGCCGGGAGCCCATGCCCGGATCCCTCGGTTGGGGTCCCGGGTTCGGAAGACTGCGAGACTGTGAGGAATACGTTCCCTGTCCCACACGGCTGAGGCCTGCACAGGTTGGGGGCGCTGGTCTGCCAGAGGAGCCCCCGGCACCAGGGAGGGGCTTCCTGGACCTTAGATCCCAGATATGGGGCCCCCATCCCACTCGCTCTTTCTATCCTTTGGGCCTGCTTCTCTCTCTGCCGCCTGCTCTGGGTTCTAGTTCTGCTCCATCTCTGCCCTCATCTGCCACTCCCCTGTAGCTCCTGGCTGAACACACACCCCTTCCCATCCTCTGCAGTCCTTGAGTGAGCCAGAGACAGACCTCCAGGCCAGGGGTGTATGGAGATGACAGCTGGGGGCTCAGAGTGGTCCCTCTTGCCCCATAGCTCTTCAGCCCTTCAGCACTGACCTAGCTTCTTGGCTGGGGTCCTGGGGGGTGGGGGTGGGAGTCTCTGCTACTCACTTCAGCCTGGCTCTCATTCCTGCCTGGCCAGGAGAGGGAGGTGCCCGCCTCCTTGCTCCCCTATCCCTGGCCCGCCATCTTGAGACCTGTGGCACCCAGTGCCCCACCCGGCCCCAGCACCCAGGGGGGTGGTCTCCAAGGTGATGCACCCAGGACCAGTTGCATTCCTTTCTCCCCACCAAGCCCAGGATGATCATGTTTATGCTGAACCCACAGGACATGTGTTCCCAGGGGCTCTCCTTCTGCCACAAAGGCTCTTAGATCCCATGAACTCCCTAGGAGCTGAGCTCCTGCCCTCCCTGTTCCCTGGGTTACCCTCATTGGCTCAGGACCAGTACCTGGGACCCTATGCTTTCCCCATCTGAAAAATCTCCTGGCCTTTCCAGGTCCTGGAACCCCCTCAACCTCTAGGGCACCCCCATCCCAGCCCCCACTCCCTAGCCTTCATCAGCATGCAGACTCAGGCTGCCCAAACACAAGGGGATTGTTCTTCTTGCATGCTCAGGGTGGGGGGCTGGGAGCAGGCAGCCCACACACCCTGGCAGGCCCAGGCCACGAGGAGGCTGGTTTGCCCCTCCCTGTGTCCCCAGACAGGCTGTCCACCCTCCCTACTCCCATCACTGCTGCCCCTGCAGCCTCCATCACCATTGCCCAGTGGCGCTGACCTCTTGAGGAGTGCTCTGAGCTGCACAGGTAGACTCCCTGGGTTTCCCAGCTCTGCCGGTTGCCTCCCATGTAGCCTTACAAACCTTTCCGTTCTTCTCTGGGCCTCGGGCTCCTCTTGTGATCAGTGAGGCCTTTCCAGCTGTGACAGGCTGAGTCCAACCTCACTCTATGAAATGTACCCCACCCCCCAGGTCTTCTTCCAATCCCTCTTTTCCATAAGGAGACCCATTCTGCTCCCACCCTCTGAAAACCTAAAGCACAGCCCAAATCCCCCACCCCAGCAGCCTACCTCAGGAGCCCCTAGTCCTGGTAAAACAGCAGGAGTAGGGCTGGGGATGCTGAGAAAGGAACCAGGCAGGTCCTACCTATGCCCCTGTGGCTGGTCCCTCATGTCTGGGTCTTCTCACTCTACTCTCATTACTCCTCTGGGAACCTCAGCCCATCTTTGGTTCCAAATGTCCCTAGGCCCCTTGAGCCTCAACTCTTCTCCCTGCACACTGAGCCTGATCCTGTCTCAAATTTCCTCTTTCTGGAGCTCTGTGTATCGTGTAAAGACAGGCTCAGAAATGCCCAACAGTGACTTCTTTGAGTTGCAGCAACATCTTTGAGGGGCACAGGGACCTAAGTGATCACATTGACTTGGAAGCCTGGGGAAGGATTTGAGAAGGATTTTGAGAGTGAGGAGGATGGGCATTTTGAGCTGAGGTCAGCCTGGACAAAGGCCTGAAAGGCTGGAGGTGCTAAGTGTGTTCTGCAGCCTGGGATGTGTGGAGGATGGGGTGGAGATGAGACAAGAGAGGCAGGGGCTGGATTATGTGGTCCTTGATGGCCTGTCCATGGAGCTCAGGCTTTATTCTTTGGGCACTGGGGAGCCATGGGTAGCTGTTGAGCAGCAGAGTAAGCATACAGTTTTCAGAACGGAGAATGGAAGCTAGAGACCTTTCTCAATGTGGATGAGACAGTGAGGGGATGGGTAGCATGAGACTATGGCCTTTCTCCTGGAGCCCAGCCAGGGCCAGGCTTGACTTGGTTTACCTTGGTTCTGAAGGCTCCTGGGGGGCTGCCTAATGATGCTGTAAAGGAAGCTGTAGCATTTCTGGCACCTGCTAACTTGTCAGAGCTGCCTTTCCCTTCCTGGCACTTTGTCTGTGTGGCAGATCTGAATGAAAAAGCCAGAGGCTGGAGCTTGTGGACCCCAGGATGCTCACCTAGGCTCCTTACTCCTCTTCTCCTCTCCCAGCTGGAGATGGTTGGCCATCCTGGGAAACTGGGAGGCCTAGAGGCTGGGCACATGTGTCCTAGGATGCTGTGGCAGTTCTTGTGAAGGCCTGGCTAGTCAGGAGAGTGAGCATCCCCAGAGAAGAGGATGGGCAGGAGAGTTAGGAGCCCTCATGCAGACCTGCTCAGGCCGAGGGTCCACCCCCACCACACCCTGCCTCCCAGGATGCTCTGAGCCATTCCCCAGCATCACTGGGTGTGGCAACTGTGGTTGGGAATAGGAGAAGGAGGCTGCTAGGTGGGGAGCTGGGGGTGCTGAGGGGATGGGGGGATATGAGATGGAGAGTGAAGCCCAGGTGGGTCCACAGGCCCCAGCTGGTCCAGACATTCTGGCCAGCAGAGCGGAGGGAATCCCCCAGGGGGCGGGCCAGTCTACTTGAATCGCCTGGCCCCAGGAGCCCTCCCCTCCTCTGGATTGTTCTTGCTCCAGAACAAAGGCAGGGTGGACACTTGATCCCTGCATGTGGGGGGAGCTGGCTAAGCCCCCGGCCCTTTGGGCAGCTGTCATGGGAGAGAGACAGCTGAGGGGGAGGGGCAGGAAGGGGGCCGTCACCATCGCTTACACAGCTGTCACCCCCCCCCGCCCCCTCCAGCCTGAGTGGCAGAAAGCCAGGGACAGAAGGAGTGGGCGCTGAGACTGGGGAGGGGGCCTGGGAATCAGGAGGGAATGCCCGATGTCAGAGGTCCAGTGTGAGCTTGGTGTGTTCTGCCAGGGAGCCCTGCTGACAGAGGGGGCTGGGCACCCTCGGAGGTGAGCTGGAGGTCAGTATGGCATGTTGTGTGGCTGCCACGTGGGTGGCCCGGCAGAGACCCAGGGCCCACCAGGCTGCAGCAGCAAATAACTCCCTAGAGCCCCAGTGAGGGCAGGGGGAGCCAGTAATGCCTTATGAGGCTGCTTGTTCCTTGGGCCCTAGGAGAATAATTTGGAAGACATGGGTCAGGACCCCTTGATCTTTCCTTAAGATGGCAAAAACCTTGAGAGTCTTTCAAAACAGGAAGGGTGCAGAGAGACCAGCAACTCTCTCCTTACCCCCAGCTCCTAAACACAATACAGGTGGGTAAACCAAGGCTTAGGTCAGATGAGGCACTGGCCAAAGTTACCCACTGGACTTGGGGCGGTGGGTCTCTGCTGGGGACCCAGGCGTCTCCTCATGGCAGAAGCTCCAGTTCTGGCCATGTTCCAGACCTCCTGCCCCATTTTTTCCTGGAGCCACAGAGGTGATGTAAAGACAGTATCGGGGGCAATGTCAGGTCTCCCACTGGTTACCATCCCAAGGGGGCCCTTGAGCCCCAGAAAATTTTGGAACTTATGACTGAGGCTCTGGACAAGTTGTCAGTCCTTTCCAAATAGTATCCCTGTCTACTAGCAAGGCAAAGTTCTCAGAAACAACTGAAGTCCAGTCCCCACTTCCGAAGGAGCCTGCCCTCCAGGAAGAGGACTAACAGATCCAGACAGGAGCAGCCTGAAAGGGGAGGCAGATGGGGCTTTGGATAGCCCACACTAGCAATGGTAGTCTCACTATGTCCCATCTCTCTGTGACCTTGAGCAGGTTACTGATCCTCTCCAGGCATCAGGTTCTCCTGTGCAGTGAATTCATCTGCTCAGCTAACCAGTATGTTAGCTGAGTTCCAGCTGAGCTCAGTCTGTTCTGAGCACCTTCTCTGGCCTGGCTCTGAACTGAGCCCTGGGGACATAAGGAGAGGCAGCAGCCTTGGCTCCTGCTCCAAGGGGCTCCTGGGCTCCTGGGCTTGGCTGTCCAGAGAGGCAGAAATAAGCACGTCATCACAAGTGCTTTGATGGGGGAAGTGCAGAGCTGGGGGAATGTCTAGCAAGGGCAGCCAGCGTGAGGCTGGCCAGGATGCTCGGAGAGCACAGTCCCTGCATCCACTGCTCATCTCTACCCTCTGGAGTGCCTATGGCAGAGCTCAAATGGAAGGAGGAGCAGCTGCACCAAGGGAAGCAGGTGTCACCTCTGTTATGGTGGCATGCCTGGGCTTCTGAGAAGGAGCCAGGCTGGGAGTCCCCTTCCCCTTCAGGGCTCCCACTCTAGCTAGCAAGGGGAGTTCAGAAGAGGGTGTTGGACAGAGCTCCATGCCCTTTCCTGTCATGTCAGGATGGGGCAGGGGGCTGAGGAGGAAGGCACCCAGAGACCTCTGGAGCATTCCAAGCCCAGCACACTCATCCTTCGCCCGCACACCCTCTTGGGTAGGTGGAATTTGCAGTGTGAGGGCTTGGTCTTGGCCCAGACTTAGCACCAGTTGGTCCCACTCCCTGTTTTCCCCATAGGGTTCTGGTCCCCTAGTGAGTTCCCCATCAAGGCTGAGCTTTGGCAGGAGACAGCCGCCTAAGGAGAGGGATTTCCAAGCAGGATTAAGGTTCAGGATTAAGTTGGGCCTGAAAAGGGGTCGGGTGGGGAGGGCTGGCGGCGGAGCTAATCCCAGCAGCTAATCTCAGGCTCCACCTTCCTCCATCAATTAATGGCCTTGACATTCCTGCAGCCCTCCAAATCCTTTTCTTACCCATCACGCAGTCCCAGGGAGAGGTGTTCCCTCCATTTTATGAGTGAGGAAATTGAGACTCAGAGCCCAAGTGACTTGCTTCTGGTACAGTAGAAAGTGTTCCAGGCTGGGAATGTGGCCAGCCTGGACACTTCTTCCCTCCTGTTCCCAAGGCCATTTTCGGCACATAGGAGAGAGATTGGAAAACAGTGTGCAGAACTGCCAGTCCCCTGACACCCTGTGCGCCACCCACTGCAACCCAGTGCTGAATGGACCCTGCCCAGAGGTGTCTGTAGTGAGCCTCTGCTCTAGTGACTTCTGGTAGGTGGGAGTGGCCTCTGGAGGTGTGGCTCAATTCCCTTCTCAGTCCTCCCTCAAGCCTTTACCAGGCAGGGCAAGACCTGACCATAGCTGAGGCCTCCCTCCCTCTAAGACTTCCCATGGCTGCTCCAGCTTCCTCCACAACTGCTCCTCTGTGCTCCAGCTAGTAGAGGATGTGGCCTCTGGATGCAAGTGCCTCTTGTATGGAGTAAACTTTCAGCCTGAACTCCACCTTCAAGCCCCCATCCACAGAGGTCCCCTCTTCCAAGAGGACAGGGAGGAGGCTCTCCTCTCTGGACTCCCATAGATTTCTAGTTAATTATTTCTTTTAGCGTCTCAGGGTAAGGGAAAGACTAGGTACCTACCCTGTATGTGCTTATTGTTTTAATTTTCATCACTCTTTGGAGATGGGAATTCGTATCCCCTTCTACAGATGGGGAAGCTGAGGCTCAGAAGGGTTGAATGGGCTCCCCAGGCTTACAAAGCTTGTGAGACACACATAAGCATGCTGGTCAGAGGGCTGTGTGGCACTCAAGGTCCATGTAGTCTCTTTCCTCTGGGAGTTTGGCTAGCCCAGCTCTGGGGTTCCCATGTAAGGGCAGGGGCAGGGTGAACTGGGCTTCTCTCGAATCTCTCTTTGGCTGCCCCTGCCAGAGCCGGCCAGGCCGCAGCGTGGACACACTTGAAGGTCCCTGTGGCCCCAGCCCCGCCTGACAGGATGAGCGGCTCAGATGGGGGGCTGGAGGAGGAGCCAGAACTCAGCATCACCCTCACGCTGCGGATGCTGATGCACGGGAAGGTGAGCTGGACATGGAGGTGAGGCAAGGCCGGGGTGGGCTGGGCTAGGTTTCATTGGGTGTCCCAGTGGGGAGGAGCTGGGCCTGGGCACTGGCACCCATCTGACAGCTCTTGTCTTGTCTGCAGGAAGTGGGCAGCATCATCGGGAAGGTAGGTGACCAGCTCTGCTCTGTACATCCCCCTCCAACTGAGGCCTCAGCCCAGGGAAGGAGGCTGGGACCTCTAAGGTTAAGAGCAATCCTGTTTTGTCTTCCACAGAAGGGCGAGACTGTAAAGCGAATCCGGGAGCAGGTGAGGATGGAGTTTGGGGTAGGCCCAAAGGCACCTGATGTGGAGGGGAGATCCCTGCCCCACCTTTTCCCTGAACCACTCCGTCTGGGCTGCCCACTGAGTGCTCCAGAGGGTGGTGGTTTTGAGCTGTGCCTGGGGCCTGGTGAGTGGGGCAGGCAGATGAGTTCCGGCGAGGGAGCAGGGAAGATTCCCCGCTGCCCAGCGCTTGTTCTGTATCTGCAGAGCAGTGCCCGGATCACCATCTCCGAGGGCTCCTGCCCTGAACGCATTACCACCATCACCGGGTCTACAGCTGCTGTCTTCCATGCAGTCTCCATGATTGCTTTCAAACTGGATGAGGTCCGTGGCTGGCCAGGGCAGGAGGTTCCCCGGGAGGAACGCAACTCTGACCCGATAGTGGCTGTGGGTGGGAGGGGAGGTCAAGCCCTGGGCAGTGTTCCCTTGAAGTGAGACTGGGGAAAGGGTACCCTCCTGACCCCAGGGCGGATGTAGCAGGAATGAGCGTGGCTAACCTACCATCTCCCTGTCCTAGGACCTTTGTGCTGCTCCTGCAAATGGTGGAAATGTCTCCAGGCCTCCGGTGACCCTCCGCCTTGTCATTCCTGCCAGCCAGTGTGGCTCACTGATTGGGAAGGCTGGCACTAAGATCAAGGAGATCCGAGAGGTAAGGGGAGAGGGATACCACCCATAGGGAGTCCCAGGCAAGGGAGTAGTTGTAAGAGGGGTGCTCGGCTGATGGTGTGCTCTCCCTTAGAGAGCTCTGAGCCTGGGCAGCCCTTTTCTGGGTTATAGGAGCAGCCAAAAGTGGCCCCTGTTTTCTGTTTGCAGACTACAGGTGCCCAGGTACAGGTGGCAGGGGACCTGCTCCCCAACTCCACAGAGCGAGCTGTTACAGTGTCTGGGGTTCCTGATGCCATCATCCTGTGTGTGCGGCAGATCTGCGCTGTTATCCTGGAGGTGCTGCCCTGGGTCAGGGAGAGAGGGGCAGGAGATGGGTCCTGGGTCTGCCTTGTGGGGCCCCCTGTGCCACAGGTGGGGCAGAGCAGGGCTGCAGGGATAGACGATGAACTCCAGGGATCATGTGCATTTCCCTGGGGGTCATGGCGGGGGCCTGAGGCCACTGGGTAGCTGGGGAGGTTATCAGAGCCTGAGAGGGTCCTGACAGAGCCTCCCCATTTATGCCTTCCAGTCCCCACCCAAAGGAGCCACTATCCCCTATCATCCAAGCCTCTCCCTAGGTACTGTCCTTCTCTCCGCCAACCAGGTGAGGGGAACAGCAGGAGCAGTGGGACATATTACTAGAGAAGGGGGATTGAGATGGAGGAGGGGATGGAAGAAGGAATTGGGGGTCCAGGGAGAGGGGGAGCGACTCTGGCTGAACTGACCTAATGCCACAGTAATCCCTGTTTTACTCCCTTTGTCTCCACAGGGTTTCTCTGTCCAGGGTCAGTATGGGGCTGTGACCCCAGCTGAGGTGAGTGACCCACAGCCCAAGGCACCCCTTCCCGAACCAAGCCTCCTCTGACCTCTGACCCCTCTTCTTTGGCACAGGTCACCAAGCTCCAGCAGCTCTCAAGCCATGCGGTCCCCTTTGCCACACCCAGCGTGGTGCCAGGTGAGCAGCCCCTGCACAAGGAGGCAGGGGAGGGTCCTAAGAGGGCAGCACCTCCCTTCCAGGAAGAGTGGAAATGGTGGGGCGGGAAAGACCCGGAACCACACTCAGTCCCTCTTCCCCACTCAGGACTGGATCCCGGCACACAGACCAGCTCACAGGAGTTCTTGGTTCCCAATGATGTAAGCAGGGGATGGGATGGCTGGAGGGTGGGTAGGGAGCCTGGGGGTCTGGGTCTCACCCAGGGTTGAATTCTGCCCTCCCTCTAGCTGATTGGCTGTGTGATCGGGCGCCAGGGCAGCAAGATCAGCGAGATCCGGCAGATGTCAGGGGCACATATCAAGATCGGGAACCAAGCAGAGGGCGCTGGGGAGCGGCATGTGACCATCACTGGGTCACCGGTCTCCATCGCCCTGGCGCAGTACCTCATCACTGCCTGGTGAGCATGGGGTGGGCAACATCAGGGGAGCAGGTCATGGTTCTCATGTGCCCAAGAAAGGCAGGAGTGGGGAGCGGACAGCTGGCCTCCTCTCTCTGTCTGGGCCGGACCTCTGCCTCTCCTAACCCTACCCCAATTCCCCACAGTCTTTGCCTAACTCACCCTCTGTTGCCCCATCTCCTGCCTCGATATCCACACCTCATGTCCTCATTCTTCATTGCTGTCTCTGGCCGCCCCATTTCTCCCTGCACCCCATGCTGTATCTGCTTGTTCTTTCTTCCTCTTCCACCCTTCCCATCTTCCCTTCAAACACATCCACCCATGTCATTGTTCTCTCTTCACTGCCTCTCTCTTGCCTGTCATTTAATCTCATGCCCATCTCTGCCCTCATTGCCCCTCTCTCACTCCCACTTTCCCCTTCGTCTCCCCTCTATATCCCTCTCTCCAGTCTAGAGACGGCCAAGTCTACCTCTGGGGGGACACCCAGCTCGGCCCCTGCAGACCTGCCTGCCCCCTTCTCGCCGCCCCTGACGGCCCTGCCCACAGCTCCCCCCGGCCTGCTGGGCACACCCTATGCCATCTCCCTCTCCAACTTCATCGGCCTCAAGCCCGTGCCCTTCTTGGCTCTACCACCTGCTTCCCCAGGGCCGCCGCCGGGCTTGGCGGCCTACACTGCCAAGATGGCAGCGGCTAATGGGAGTAAGAAGGCTGAGCGGCAGAAATTCTCCCCCTACTGAGGCCAGCTGAGGTACAGGCAGGGGCAGGCAGGACCGCCAGTAGGGGGCTGCCTCCGCACCCTACTCGCCCAAGGAGACTCCACTCTGGGGTCCCAAGTGCCGCTAACGCCAGACGCATGGATGCACCCCCTACCCTGCCTCCGTCTATGAGAGTTCCTTCTCTCACAGTCGGGGCAGTTTCTGGCCCAGGGTTCTGAGCTGTGGCAGCCCCAGGCCAGGGGGCCCTACCCTCTCAGCTCTGTGCTTGGATACAGAGATCAGCCAGAGGACTCCCTAGTGCCCCACCATGGTTGGTGTCACTCATGCACTTCCCATCTCTTAGGGCTTCCTGGCCTACTGCACCCTTGTGGGAGTCAGGGAGGAGGGCCTGGGGGGTAGCTGGGGCCAGGCTTCTCTCCCCACCACCTGCAGGTTTCTTGCTGCTTCCACTGATACCCTTTTGACTGGAATGAACTGGCTGGGCTTGTCAGGGGGCACCCCAAAGAGGGGGCACTGCCAGGTAGCTGGGGGAGTGGCATGGGGCAGGGGCCCAGTTCTCAGCAGCAGACACTCTGTACAGTTTTTTCAATCCCTGTTTTTTGAATAAATATTCTCAGCGACCACGAAAGTTGTGAAATACTGGTGTTGTGGGCGGGAAAACCTCTAGAAAATGGGTGCAGCTTAGGTCCTGGAGGACCCCCATGTGTGAATCCACCAACCTCAATTAGGCCTCAGTGCCTTCCACATGCCAGTTCTGGGGCTTCAGGACCCTTAGAGGGTCAAGTTATCCCGCCTCCTGCTTCTAACACCAAACTGGTCCAGTTGTCTTCTGGGCATTTTAGAAGCAGATGGAGGAGTTTCAGTAGCTTTGTCCAGACTCTCCTTGCTGCAGATGTCAGGGAAGTCCTGAGGGTCTCTCCAGCGGTTCTTCCTACTGCGGCTATAACCCAGGTCCTGCCCTGCTTGGCGGATCACTTTGGTTGTGAGCCCTTAGGGCCCTCTTCTCTGTGACACCTGCCTACCTTGGTCTGGGGACTACCTGTGAGTTTCACAAACCACCTATGCTGGAGGGGCCCTTAGAGATGCTGCAGGGTGTAGATGGGAAAGCCAAGGCCTAAGGAAGGGTGGGCCTGTGCACAATGCTATGCAGTGCTGGGCCCAGACCCCAGCATTCCTGGCTCTCAGAAGTCCGTGGGCCTCACCAGGCTGCAGACACCCTTTCTCCTGTTCCAGTGCCAGATGTCCAGCAGGGCACCTGTGCAAGGGTTGGATGAGCCCCCACGGAAACCACCCTCCTTTCTCCTGCTCAGGAGAGAGAGTTCTTAGGTGGCCCCTGGCATGCTGGGGCACCGAACTCCAGCCAAGTTGGGTGTCTGTTCTGGCGCCTCAGAAGGGCCTACAGTAGGGCCCTCTGGGGGTCTCTGGAGGCATCGCAGGAGTGCCCGCGGGTGCCAGGCTTGCGGAGTGCAGGCCCGCGGAGGTCCAGGCAGTGCACGGCGAGTGAGGCGGCCCACTGCCAAGCGCACGGGGCGCTGCAGCAGGCCATATAGGAAAGGGTGAGCCGCAAAGGCCGAGTAGGCGACCCAGGTGACAGCCGCCTCGGCTTCCGCGGCCCGCGCTGCGGGGGCCAGGCACGCGCAGCCATAAGGCAGCCAGCAGGCTGCAAATTGGCCCACGGCCAGCGCTGGGGCCAGGGCCGCCTTGCCCCCGGGCAGGCGAGGCCGGAGGGGCGGCAAGATGGAAAGGCGGCTATCCAGAGAGTCTGAGCGGAGCCGGGACCCGCGCGCCGGCCGTGGAGGCCTCAGGGCAGCGCGACGCGCCACCACGAAGATGCCGCCGTAGGCGCGGAGCAGCAATAGGGCAGGCAGCGCGAAGGCCAGCAGCGCCCAGAGTGGCCGGAAGGGCCCGAGGCCCCCTGCCAGGACCGAGCAGCGAGCAGGAGCTGGGGGCGGCGCGGGCGGCGGCCCGAGCAAGGAGAGCGCGCCCAGCAGCCCGGCTGCGGCCCACACCGCGGTGAGCACGAGCACAGGCGGCGGCCGCGAGCCTGGCCGCAGCGGGTGCACGATGAGGCGGTAGCGCGCCAGGCCAAGTGCGGCCACACCGAGCGTGCAGGCCGGCAGCAGCGCTGCGGAGAGGAAGCGTGCGGCGCGGCACGGCGCGGGGCCCAGGCGCACGCGGCCCAGCCCTGGCGGGGGTGCGGCCAGCAGGCCCAGCGGCATGATGGAGGCGGCCGCCAGCAGGTCCACGACGCACAGGTGCGCCAGGTAGAGCGCGTCGCGCAGTCCCGGCGTTCGCAGCACCACGACCAGCAGCGCACCGTTGCCCAGCAGTGCCCCCACCTCCACAACAGCTGCCAGGATCAACCCCATCGAGCCTGCGACTTCCGAGGTGTTCAGCCCTGTGGAGTTGGCCATTTGGGCTCTCAAGCTTCACCCTGCGCTGGAATGTAGATGGCAAAATGTAGAGCCTATAGTTGCAGGATTTCCACCACCTGTCCCTTCCTCCTCCTGTCCCTTGCTCCTCCGGCCCCTCACCTCATTGGCTGCCCAGGAGGTGGCTCCGACGCGCAGGCTGCCATCCTCTAGGGGGCTTGGCCAGCCCCATGCAGGGGTGCAAGGATGAGTCTGGCGTCTCTCTCCCCTGCCCCAGTCCAGCTCCAGCAACTCAGCCCCTGTCGGAGATGGTACTGGCTGTCACTCTGATGTTGCCACACAGGGCTGGCAAGGGAGGGGCAGGGCCTGGTGCCAGCCCCCTGGGTCCTAGCAGCTGCCAGCTGAAGGCTGGAGGCTCTGCTGTGGAAGTGCCTGGGGGTGTCTTTAGGGTGGTGGAGTGGAGGACAGAGCAGGCACCCACCTGGAGCCAAGACTTGAGAGGGTTAGAGTATATGGGCTTTGGAGTCAGTCAGAACCTGCTCTACTTTTCTCAGTGCTGGGGAGTGGCCCCCATCTCCTCTCCTCCCCCATCCTTATCAATGGGGGTAATCACAGCATTTAGCTCTCATATTAAAGGGAAACTGCAGTAGCAGTAGCAGTGAGACAACAGCTGAAGCAGGAGGACCCTTAGGCATGGCCTGGCCCCCAAGAGGGCTAGTTCTCTCAGAAAGAAAGGAGGCTGGGAAAAGTGAGAGAAAAGCCTAGGACCTGGCACATAGTAGGTGCTCGGCTAATATATATATATATTTTTGAGATGGAACCTCACACTGTTGCCTGGACTGGAGTGCAAAGGCATGATCTCGGCTCACTGCAACCTTCACCTCCCAGGTTCAAGCGATTCTCCTGCCTCAGCTTCCTGAGTAGCTGGGATAACAGGCACCCACCACCATGCCTGGCTATTTTTTTGTATTTAGTAGAGATGAGGTTTCACTATGTTGGCCAGGCTGGTCTGAACTCCTGACCTCATGATCTGCCCACCTTGGCCTCCCAAAGTGCTAGGATTACAGGCATGAGCCACCGCACCCGGCCATGCTCAGCTAATATTAATTACGCACAGAATAGGTGCCCCATGATAGTGTGTGGGATAAGTGAGAGGAGGCTTTAGCGGACAGATGCTGTTTGGTTTTTTTGTTGCTGTTGTTTGCTTTGTTTTTGCTGCCAGCAAACAGGTCCCCCTCTGGTAAGAGTGCCCTGAATTTAATTTTCTTTTCTTTTCACTTTCTCTCTCTCTCTCTTTTCTTTTTCTTTCTTTTTTTGAGACAGGGCCTCAGTCTGTTGCCCAGGCTGGAGTGCAGTGGTGCAATCTTGGCTCCCTGTTATCTCTGCCTCCCAGACTCAAGTGATCCTCCCTCCTGAGCCTCCCAAGTAGCTGGAACTACAGGCATGAGCCACCATACCTGGCTAAACACCCTGAATTTTCTTGAGGAAACCACTCCTCCCTAATTCTCAGGACAGGCAGTTTGAGTGAACAAGATCCCCATCCTCCATTTTCCTGATCAGGCACAAAAGCCAGTCCTGACCAATCAGTGAATGGCAGGGTTCCCCGCCCCAATGTGGTTGGCTCATGGAAAGCCATGTAACTCCAGTGAAGTCACCCAATTTCATGGCAAAACCCCGCCTATACTCTGATAGCTTCCAAAGGTATCTGAAGCCTCTTCCTCTCTCCTTGGGTATCCAGCTGCCTTTTCAACATCTTCCCCAGGACTTTCACTAATGGTCATCTCAAACTTCCTATGTCCAAAACAGAACCATGACTCTTGACCCTTCCCTAACAATCTGCTCCTCCCAGAATCTTCTCCATCTCAGTAAACTCTATCTCAGGATGCCTACCTCTCCCTCCTGCCCTATGTCCAATCCACTGAGATCTCTGGAATCCAGCCATTTCTCACCATCACCATTAAGCTGTTCCCAGCCACTGCCACCTTTCAGCTGGACCATCTCAGCATCCTTCTAACTGATGTCATGGCCTCGGCTCCTGTACCTTGTGCTGGCTGCCTGCCTGTTTGCCCTCAGATTCATCCCTCTTTCCTCCAGTGCTATACTGCCTTCCTGGGAACTGTATTTCCCAGGCTCTTTTGTTGACTGACTTTGGGTATGCTCAGCCAATGGAAGTTACCAGCAGAAGACTGGTGGATGGGAGGAGGGAGAAGCCAGGATTTATTTCCCTCTGAAGCTCAGCCAGGGGCTCCTTCAGGTGGCCCCCTCTGTGGTCTGGCTCCTGCAGGGCAACCCTCACCTCTGGGCAGCAGAGCACCATTTGCTTCCTTGATCTCCCCATTCTTAGGGTGGTAGTGACTTCTAGCTGTTGCTAATCTTTGGATTGCGGCATCATCCCCCATTTGGTCATTCAATTCTTTCCCTGTATCAAATTTCCCTTGTCTGAAATACCTAGGGTAATTTCTATCTTGCTGACTGGATGTTAACTGACATATATTCTACTGTCCACTCTCTACACAGTGGCTGAAGTGGATCTCTCTAAAAACAAAGAAGATGGGGCATGACCCAGCTTTCATCCCTCCAAGAGCTTCCCATCATCAGAATAGATCAGAATAGAATCTCAGCTCTTCTGTGATGTGAGCTAGGCCCTATTATCTGCCTTTTCTGCCCATCTCTGAGCTCACCCACCTTGCTCACAGTATTTCTAGCAACAGCAGTCTGCTTGCTGTTTCTTCTGCCCATCAAACCAGTTTCTTTGCATCTGGTGTTTCCATTGACAGAACACCCTTCCTGAAGATCTGTCCATGGCTTGCTCCCTCACATGATTCAGGTCTCTACTCAAGAGGGACCTTCAGTGACCGTCTTTTCTAAAATCGTCCTACCTTCTTATCACTCAAATCCTTTTATCCTGCTTTATTTTTCTTCCCAGCACTTTCCATACCTGCTGTGGTATTTCATATTTATGCACACATTTGCTTAGAACCTGCTTTGCTGGAATGTAAGCTCCATGAGAGCAGGGATCTCATGAGTCTTACTTGTACCGCCTGTGCCCCTAGCACCCCTCACAGGCACATGGTCAGCATCACTGCAGATCTAGATGACTAGACATGGGCCTCCTGGTTTGACTAATTTTGTGCTGGAATTAAAAAGACTCCAGTGTAGTTCTCCATTATTCAGATGAGAAAAGTAGGGCCCAGAGAGGGGAGAAATGTGTCCCAGATCACATAGCTGAGTTGGACCTGGAATCCAGGTCACTTGCTTCCTAGAGCTACATCCACACAGGTGTCCCTTCCTGTCCTTGGCTACAACTTGAGCTTGGGCATTTGCTTCTAGGAGGTGAAGCTGGATTTTTGAAGTTTTGGTCCCTACCCAGGCAGCCCTGTAGGCCTGGGGCAGCCCTTGAGCTACCAGGCCCTGGAGAGAGCTCAGCAGGGCCAGGTGGGAGCAGCAAATGAGAAAAGTGGACTAGGGTGGGGTGGGGACTACGGTGGGTGCAGAGTTCATGCTCCCTTTAACATCATTAATACGAATAAAAAATTAAAACACCTTGTTAGCACGTGTATATGTGTGTGTGTATTGCAAAATTTGCAAAACACAAAACAAAACAAAATTTAAAAAGTCACAGGAAGAATATGCCAGAAACTAAGAAACTGGCTCCTTCCAGCAGGTGAGTAGGAATGGAGTGAGGGGATAGAAGGACTCTGCTTGCATAGAGTGGACCTTTTGGAACTATATTAATGTTCCACATATTGAAAACGATACAGTAACAAAGAAGAATGTAGACAGAAATGATTGAGCTGACCTGTATTTCAAACCATAACATAACCTCACTGAAGAGAAAGAACCAATCCAAGTAACATCTGAACCTGTATTCAAACTGTTACTTTGACCATGGACCCTCAGTCTAAGGACAAAAAGATAATCTTGAGTAAGATCAGATACATCATGAGCTCTATTTAGAACGTTTGTTTTTCACAGGGTATGGGTATGGCAATTCTGCAACTCGTTTTTGTGTAGAATTGAGCAAATAGGTAGATGTATTGATGTTGATGGAAACCCAGGTTCTTACTGTTTGAGAACCGAGGAAATAGGGACTTGGGGAAGAACGGAAGAACTCTGTGGTATTTGATTGGAACTGGAGAAATAGGTATAGAGAGATGTGTTTGTTTTTTATTCACACATACTTATTCCTTCTCCCCCTTCTTTTTTTTCCTTTTTTATTTTAGAGACAGAGTCTCAGTTTGTCATTCAGGCTGGAATGTAGTGCTGCAATCATAACTCACTCCAGCTTTGAACTCTTGGGCTCAAGAGATCCTCCTGCTTTGGCCTCTCAAAGTGCTGAGGTTACAGGCGAGAGCCACTGTGCCCAGCCATATCTACACATTCCTTAGCTCTCTTTGCTGAAAGGACTTAAAAGCAATGACACCTTAGTACCAAGAAGCACATCTACCGCCCAGATCTTGGATTCTAAATAACATTTCCTGCTCCCAGGAACCAGGGCTCCTTGGAGAAATGGCTGATTCCAGGTTTGTACAAGATGAACCTGGAACATCTTGTGATGCCAAAGAGAAAGGATATGCTCAAAAAAAAAAAAAAAAAAAAATGATCGGGACACAGAAGGGACCTTCTGCTGGCCAAATCTAGGACAATTTGAGGCTCAAAAATAAATGACAGTAATGGATTATAACTCACTGAATAAAATAAAATCCATGAGTCTATACTGATAACAAAGACAGAAAGGATATTGTTAACTAATATTATAAAGGAAATGATGGAGTTAGATAACTACCATTTCCAACCATCTTAGCAAAAATTGATTCAGGTAATTGATTTCTGGTAAATTATCAATGGATATTAAAGCTAGCGGGTGAAAGGTGATGAAAAAAGGGACATTTACACCCCACAGTATTTCCCCACAGATTACTGATTAATTACAAAGGAGAGAAATGGTAGCTTCACAGTGGAGAAACGTAGTGGACATCACCTTAATGGATGATCAAGGTTAATTAACATCACCAAGAATGGGCCATGCCCCTACGGATGGAATTCACTGAGGGCATATCATTTATGTCATGTTCCTGCCTATGCAATACCTAAATCTAATCACGACAAAGCATCAGAGAAACCTGAACTCAGAAACATTCTATAAAACTGGCCTATATTCTGCAAGAATTCAAGAATGTCAAAGTTATAAAAGAAAAAAAAAAGCTGAGGAGTGTTTTCAGATTAAAGGAGACTAAAGGGACACAACATCTAAATGTACCGTGCAACCCTAGCCTGGACGTCGCCTGCTCCAGCTCTCCTCATCTGTGGGTAGGATGACCTGCTCGTGACCACTGGCATTTCTGCCTGAACAGCCTCCTTTCATGGTTGCAGAGCTGTGCTCCTCTGACATGTGCTCAGCTTGTTTGTAGTATTTAGATTAAGACATAAAGGAGGCTGGGTGCAGTGGCTCATGCCTGTAATCCCAGCACTTTGGGAGGCCAAAGCAGGAGGATCACCTCAGCCCTGGAGTTTGAGACCAACCTGGGCAACATGGCAAAACTCAAAAATTAGCCAGGTATGGTGTCATGTACCTGCAGTCCCAGCTACTCTGGAGGCTGAGGTGGGAGGATCACCTGAGTCTGGGGAGGTTGAGGCTGCAGTGAGCAGTGGTTGCATCACTGCACTCCAGCCTGGGTGACAGAGTTAGACCCTGCCTCGAAAACAAAAAGACACAAAGGGATATTTGGTGCTAAGACATGAGGAATGCTTGATTCACCTGGCAATGTTTGGGATGAAGGACAGAATCACCACGTGGGTCCCCAGATGACAAATAGTTCTAAGTTGATAGTCGGGGTCACCCTTGAAGGCTCAATGAGAGGAGGCAGGTTGTTGCAGTGATGGACCAGGAGGGACAGGGGTATGTACATGATCCACATCAACCTATGTGAGTGCTCACTCCCTGGAGTGTGGCTGGAGGCTCAGGCCCAGCACAGCTGTGGCACAGACAGGTAGAGGCTGGAGCAATAGAACACCGTGTTTACTAAACCTGCTTGTGCGTGCCTGCACTTTAGCCTACCTTGTGACCATGTGGCTCCGATGTGCAGTCCAGGCCAGGATGGACGGCCTGGGTGGATGTGGGACCCAGCCCACTCTCAGCTGTGCCCCTTGAGTAGGCTGCTGCATCTGTGTCCCTGTAATACGTCCCCACCACACCCATCACTTTAGGAGGCAAGACTCTGGGGCCACAGCCATGCCAAGGCTAACAGGGATTGGAGGGAAGGGGGATCGATGTCTGGGACACTGGGGAGCCTGGCAAGAGGGAGCGATATGGATCCAGCAACCATCCAAGGGGAATGAAATCACCGTGTCCACGAGATGTCTTCACTGCCAGTTCACTGCAGCACTGTTTACAATAGCCGAGAGATGGGAGCAACCTCAGTGTCCACCGATAGATGAACGGATAGAGGAAAGGTGGAGCATATACATAACAGAGTACCATTCAGCCCTAAAAAGGGAGAAAATCCTGTCCTTTATGAACATGGGTGAACCTGGTAGATATTATGCTAAGTGAAATAAGCCAGGCACAGAAAGACAAACATCACATGACCTTGCTTACACGTGGAACCTAAAAAAGCTGCCTTATACAAGTAAAGAGTAGAACGCTGGGGGGAGAGGGACTGGGCAGCTGTGGGTCAAAGAACACAAAATTTCAGTCAGACAGGGGAGGAAATCCAGGGATCTTGTACAGCTTGGTGACTGTAGTTAACAACAATGTATTGCATTCTTGACAAAAGGAGTGATATGGGGGAACCAGAGATGGGACGGAAGAGTGAAGATCGCCGTCCAGCCCAGCAGGACCCAGGGGAACAGAGTGGGCACTCAGAGGTGAACCTCCAGCAGGTAGCGCAGGCGACACTGGCTCTCCTGGTAGATGAGATACTCGCTCTGGGAGAATGTGGAGCTGCTGAACTCTGGGCAGGGCACAGGCTGGCCCTGGGGCACCACTACTCGCTGGCCATCCAGCTCCAGCTCAGTGTCCTGGGTCGGATCTGCAGGGCACATCAAGGGCCAGGGTGGCTCAGGGGTCACTGGTCCCTGGCCTTACAAATAAGTCCTGCCTGCTATGGTCTCCACATCTGTCAGAGGGCATGCCTGCTCATTCCACCTTGCCCACCTCCAGACCACGGCATAGGCTGGGGCTTCTGCCTGGAGTGTCCGTCCCGCCTTCTCTCTGGGAAACCCCTACTCATCCTTCAATGCTCGGTCAATGACTGAGCACTGAGCATTTCCTCCGGGATGCCCAGGAAAGATTTGTTGAACCAGTGGATGTTTGTCAAATGACAAAGTGAGTGGCTACAGGGAAGTTTCTTTTTGTCCCTCTTCACAGCCCCTTCCCTGAAAATGTCCCAGCCCCTACCTCAGCCCTACCTCTCTCCTTGGCCTGTTCAGCTTCTGAGGACTCACCAGGCTCGGTGTGGCCTCGGGCAATGACACTGTTGAAGCCAGGAGGTGGGGTCTTCAAGCTGGGGTTGTCCGTGGTGATACGGTACTCTCTGCCCAGGGCCACCTCACCCAGGAACATGTAGCCGACGTAGTGGTCCCCACAGTTCATGCCAGTAACTGGAGAACACAGGGAGGCACCGGCAGGCAGCTCAGCCTGCCTCCTGCTAACCCGAGGGCTCTTCTCTGCTGTGATGTTATCCCTTCTGGCTTTGCTGCTCCAGCCCAGAAAAGGCTCACTCACCTCCAGCCGTCACTCCCTCCTTGTCCCGGCCTGCTCCCTGTGGCCAGGCCTCTGCACCTGCTGCTGTCCTCATGAAAGTCAGCAATGGCCTCCCAGTGACCAAACCCGGGGCAGGGGCTTTCCTCCCTGGCCCGCTCTGCTGCCTTTGCTGCTGGTATCATTAGCCCCTACCTGGGACTCCTCACGCTGGCTCTCCTGAGCCTACCCCCCCCACTGTTTCCCAAGCTCCTCTGCCCTCCTGGTGGACCCCTTGCTCTTGGTGACCTCAGGCATCCTAGAACTTCAGCCCCATCTGTTCTGGGATGTATCCTTGGTCCTTGCTCTCTTGGCCTTACAAATGGTGGTGGCCTCCAATGATGGGGTCAGCCTGGGAGGTCATTTCAGTGAGGACACTCCTGGCCAGAAACTCGGAAGTCACTGGAAACAGCGTTGACCCTTTCCCACATGCTGGCCACCCCACCTCCCACACATCCCTCTCATGGGCTCCCTCCCCCGCACCTCCTAGCCCTGGACCACGCACCCCTCACATCTGGCCTGAATGAGAGCATGGCCTCCCTGCAGCCTCTGGCTGCTGTTACCCTCTCCACAGCTGTAGCCACTGAGATCCTGCCACAGACAAGTCCAGCTGGGCTCGCCATCACTCCCATCCTATCTGCATTACCTCCTCCAGGAAGCCATCCCTGACCATCAGGCACTTCCCCTGAGACCCCCACCCTAAAGCCCAGGACAACCCACTAAGCACTGTAGTCATTAACCACTAAATGATTCTTCTTTCTGATCCACCATGAGTTTCCAGTGGGCAAGGACTGGGCCCCATCCACCTTAGTGCCAACCCTCCCAGGGCCAGGCTTAGAGGGAAACATCACCATAGCCAGCTGATTTGCTGTTCTCTGAGGCGAAGTAGATGCCCTTGCCAACACGCCCACCAGAATGTGGCATGATGCGGAGCCCACTAGTGAGGATGGCGGCCACCACGGCCACGTTGGTGCCGTGCCACAGCAGCCTCCGATTACCCAGTCTGGAGTGGGCCTGGAATCTGTCTCCCTGAGTGGAAAGGATGTGAGAAATGGGAGTCATGCCACCCAAGCACTCGGTCGCCTTGCCCTGCTGCTCAGAGGTGTGACCAAGGCTGAGGGCCCCTCTGCTTACTCATGCACACTCATGGCCTGGCAGAAACTGTGCAGAGTTGCTAAACAATTTGCTAAGGGGCAGATAAGCCAAGGACATCTTCCTAGGGCACAGGGGTGATGGTGGAGGGGGTGGGGGAATCTCCCTCACCTCCCCTTCTCGGTTCACTCTCCAAACGTGTTGAAGAGTAGGGCACCTGTGGTTGTTGCCAGTCTGTTTTAAGTAGGTCTGTATCACCTGTAGGGAGAGCAAAAGCTGGGTGCCAGGGTGGGAGGCTCAGGAGCTAATCCCCGTCTCCTCATCCCCCTAGTCCCAAGCCCTCCGCAGGCCCTGGAGACACAGGAAGAGAAGGCTGAGGGCGAGTATTCCTCTGGGTACCTGGAGGGCAGGTGGGCAGAGGGATGGGGCTCACTGTTAGCCTGGCCCCTCTGTGGGGCCCAGCTCACCTTGTACTCAGGTGCCCCAGGGTCCAGCAGCTGCAGCTGGCACTTGAGAAGCAAATAGTCTCGGTCTAGGGGGTGTGGCACCTCCTCTACCATCTGCTCCTGCTCAGGGGCTGCCTGCAGGGCCTGGGCCAGCTCGATGTCCGCCAGCACCTAGGATGATGGGCCCCGGCCGCTCATCTTCCCATGTGACCTCTGGCCTACCCTCTCCTCTCTCACATGCCTGGTACTGCAGCCACCCCACCTGTGTGTCCCCCGTCCCATCACCCCATCTGTCTGCCAGGCCTTCCCCACCCATCTGTCAGCTTTCCCAGGCAGTCCACCCCTCTGGGCCTTCTTGGCCACCTGTCCCTCGTCTCGCTCGTCGCCTAGGCTGTCAGTGCCCCACTGCCTGCCCACACCCCTGCCAGTCCTCACCAGCAGCATGTCCTTCTTGGCCTGCAGAAGCTCCGGGGTGTTGATGGGTGGGGGCCGGCTACGGCCAAAGTTGTGCGGGATGATGGTGTAAAAGTGGGAGGACAGCTCCTCCAGGCTCTGGCCACCATCCCTGGGGCCTTTCAGGGCATCTTCCAGTGCCTCCAAGGCCTCGAAGCCCCTCGAAATCTGCTGCTTGCTCAGCTTTCCCAGGGGCATCTTCTTTACATCTAGGGGGACAGGGGACTGGGGAGACTCAGCTTCGCAGCCCTGCCTCCCTGAGGCCCCTGCCACCCTGCCTGCCTCACCCCTCACCCAGGTCCATGAGGGTCATGGCATTCTTGAACATCTCCTTGCTGAAGATGTTAGTGATGAGCTTCTGCGTGGCTGGGTCTAGGGAGCAGGGCTGCACCCGCTTAGCCACAGTCCTTACTGGGCCTCCGTCCACCTGAAGATACAGGGCACATGTGAGCAGGAGTGGCTGGGCAGGGTGTGACACCAGATAGAGACCAGCCAGCCTGAAGCCAGAGGGGAGTTCTGTGCCTGAGGCTGCACAGCTGGGCAGTGGCACAGCCCAACGAGTGGGGACTCTCCAGCCAGTGCCCTCCCTCTGCCCAGGGCCCACCTCCCTTCCCTGGCCCTCTCACCTTCACCACAGCTTCCTGGGCCTCATCCTCTCCCTGCACTTCGATAAGTGTGTACTTGCCGGGGTGGGCCACAAATTGGTCTCGCTCTGCCCATTTATTTTTGGTCTTTTCCTGAAATTTCTTCTCAAAGTCCTTCTTTGCATCTTCTAGTGTTGTGAAGGGGTTCAGCTTCGACTGGCCGAGCTCTCCCTGCCACCCACAGACAGCCTTCAGGGGTGTGCCCACCATCAGCGTTTGCTGGACTGTGTGCTGGGCCAGGCCCTATGCTGAGCACCCCTGGACAGTTGGGGATGCCGCCCAGTCAGTAGCCGAGGCCTTCTGGGGACCCTGGGCAGCATGTGCAGAGCAGGCAGGGCACTCACCACGCGGCCCCAGCGGGTCCAGCAGGCGAAGCGGCTGCCGTCTTGGAGCAGCTGGATGACGTAGAACTTGTTGTTGTTCTTCCCGATGTTGGTCTGGTTGAGGGTGCAGTCATAGTCCTCATGCACCTAGGCCAGAGGGGAGGTGGGGGCAGGCTGGCTGGGGTCAGATGGGGTGCCTGGCTGCACACTGAGAGGGTGCCAAAGTGGACAGGAGTCTGACGGCAGTGGGAGTCAGAGGGACCCTGTCTTGGAAGCTTGGGTGGTCATGGCTCTTCCCTAGGGGATGTGGTGTGATACTTACTTGCATGGGGGTATTGGGGGTTCTGGGAGGACACAGCTGGGCCCTAAATGGGGAAACCCAAGAGGGACATGGCTCTGCCCTGAGGGGACATGGGTGAGCGCCGGGGAGACTGAGGTAGTCAGAGCCTTTCCCTAAGCATGCTGGGCGGAGGCCTGCATGGGGTCTGAAAAGCAGACATGACCTGCTTAGATCTGATGGGATGTCTGTGGTCAGAAGAACATGGTCTTGCTCTGCACTTACCGGGGGCCTTGGGCTCCAAAACCAGAACTGAGTCCCAAGAGGGAGGCCTGGGTGTGCTTGTGCTTATCAGTGGGCAGGCTCTGGCCTGGCTGGGGCCACTCACCTGGGTCTCAGGGTTGCTGCTGAGTGGACACGTCGGGTCCACACGGATTATGCGCTTCTCTGCAGGTGCAGCCCTGAGGGCCTCAGCGGTGGAGTGGAAGAGGTCCTTCTCCCCTGCCCCCTGCCGCCCCTTCTTTTTCTCAGGGCCCTCAGTCTGTACCGAGGGCTTCCGCTTTGGAGCCATGGCTGTCCTGAGGCACAGAGGGGCCCACAGGCCTCCATGGTCTCCTCATCCCCAATGCCCACTCTCACTCCCCACCACTGCCCTGGGCCTGTATAGCACCAACTTGCCCCACCCAGGGTTCCCTGTTCAGTGGCCTTCCACTGTGTCCTCTGTCCACTCTGCATTCCCAGCCCCAGACCACACCCAGCTCTTTGTCACTCAGAAACACTCCTTTCCCCAATCCCAAGTGCAAGGTTAGGACTCTGTCCAGTCTGCCCACTCTGGTCAACAGAGTCTGCCTGGCTCCCTACCGTCTCCAGCTCACCTTTGAGTCCTGAGGGATAGGGAAAGTGAAAGGAGGAACGCTCCAGTCCACTTAGGGGCTCCTCCCCCTGTGTCAGCTAGTTTAGCCCTGGCGTGGCTAATGGGCTGAGTCACAGAGCTATGGGGGAGGGTGGACAGAGGATCCTGGGGGCAGGACTCTTGGGGCCAGATTTATCCCCCTGAAGCTTAGAACCCAGTGCTGTAGAGGCCCTTCCCAATGGACTGAAGGGTTCTGGGAAGCCAGAACTCCAGATCAATGGCCTTGAACTGCCAGAGGGCAAAGGCCAGTCCCACCAGGCCTTGCCCAGCCCTGCCCTGCTCTGCCCTGCGGAGGACTGTGGGCAGGACCACAGGACACTCACCTAAGAAAAGCAGGGATATGGGAGAGGTCTTGGCTGCCACCCGACCTGGTTGTGTGCGCCTCCCAGGGCAGTCCCAGGTCTAGCATCTCCCCATGAGTCTCAGGCGTGACTTAGCGAGGGAATTCCCAAGAATCGCCAGACGCCGTATGTGCTTGTGTAAGGGTTAGATATCGGCTATTTGGCCACCAGTGGGGTGAAGCAGAGGCGGGGGCAGGTCGAGTCAGAAGACCAGTCCCACGGACGAGTGGGCACTCGATCTGGCATATCCAAGGACCGGGCAGTCGCGTCCGTAACGCTGCTCATGTGGCCGGGGCCGGCAGCATGCATCTGTCGGTCGCCCGGTGACCTTGGGTCCGGGTACAGGCACTGCCTCCCTCTCCCCGGGGCTGCTTGGATCCCCGCTGGGCCTAGCGCCTGGCTGCCCAAGGAGGGGAGGAGTCACGCTCCAGAACGCGGATGGGTTCCGCGTCTCTGGCGCCCCCCAGCGGCCAAAGGGCGCAAACAACGAGAAGGCTCTTGCTCCGACTTCGAAGTCGGCCAGCAGCAGGGCGCAAGCGCCGCAGCTTCAGGCCGGAAACGCCCGGGAGACGCCGGCTTCCCACTACCGCCTAGTGCAGGAGCCCATAGAACTCCAGGAGGCGGGGCCAAAAGCGTGCATCCTATGGGTGCTTGGGGGCGTGGCAGAGCCAGCCGAAGGACCCAATGGAGCAGTGGAAGGCGGGGCCCGGGCTGTGGAAGCCTATCAGGACGCGGAATCTTGCCATGCGGCTAGGATGCGGGGAGGGTTCGGTTGCCACGTGAGTTCTCCGGTGGCTGCTAGCACACACCCGGTGGGCAGCATGTCGGCAAAAGCGGCGGCTCGTAAGCGGGGAAAGCTGGTTTCGGGGGCCGGGGCTGGTGCGGCGGCCGGCAAGCGGCGGCGAAAGGTGAGCATGGTGCTTCTGCGGGCCGCGGTATTCCCTGGTGCTGGGGCAACCGTCATCCCATCAAAGGGACTCGGGTCCGGGCCCTTCCCCAGCCCTTCGCCCGGGACACCAGCTGGAATCAGCTTCGTTCCGCTCTCCGCTAGCCAAATCCTAGAAAGCCGTGCGCTTAACCCGGGAGCCACTGCCTTTACCATCCTAGGGCTCGTGAGGGACCCGAGGAGGCCCCTGAGTCAATGCCACGGTAGTCGGGACTCTTGACCAAAGAAAGGACCGTATAATTCCTAGGCCGCCTCCGCGGGGGACAGGGGCAAATCCAAAGGTGGCACCAAGATGAATGAGGAGATCTCCAGTGACTCTGAGAGCGAGAGGTGAGCTGTTCTTTTCCACCTAGTGGGAGGGAAAACTGAGGCCTATGGTGCCTGGAAGACTCAGTGAGTCCGGACAGAGCTAAGCCTAGAACCCAAGACTCTGGCCTTGGCTCTGAGATCTTGGCTCTTTCCTTTAGTTTTTGGTCCTGCAAAGTCTCGTTTCTGCGAGGTCTGTGGATGGGAAGGACCCCGGGCCCCAGTCCGAAGCTACTGCCACCTCCTTAGGTTTTGGCAGGGAGCTAAACATGGAACTGGACTGATTGTGAAATTGCAGGAAAACAGAACAAAGCTGTCACATATTTCTTGCATCCCTCTCCCCTTGCCAGTTTTCCTGCAGTTTCACAATTACTGGAGTCCCCTGTCTCTTAACATGCCAGGCACTGTCTTCCCTATTGAAAGCGCAGAGTTAGGCAGGTGGGTGAAGAGAGTGTGTTGTAATGAGATGTGTATCTTATAGTTGTGTGTCTGGGAACAGGGAGGGACATTTAAATAGGGTCTTGAGAGATGAGGAGGAGTCTCTCATGGAGAGGTAGGGAAGGCATTCAGAGATCAGAGGAAAGTTTGAGGTGTAAGTGTGCCAGAATGGGTGATAGAAAAGATGGAAGGGGCTGGGCCTGGTAACTCACACCTGTAATACCAGCACTTTGGGAGGCCAAGGTGGGAGGATTGCTTGAGGTCAGGAGTTTGAGACCAGCCTGGACAACATAGCGAGATCTCGTCTGCACAAAAAATAAAAAAGTTAGCTGGCTATGGTGGCATGCACCTGTAGTCCCACCTACTCGGGAGGCTAAGGTAGGGGGATCCCTTCCCAGGAAGTTGATGCTGCAATGAGCTAAGATCGTGCACTGACCTCCAGTCTGAGTGACAGAGCAAGACCTTGTCTATACAAAAACACAATAACAGGAGGGGTGGTCATAGGTGCATGCAGATTCTAAAGGGCTTTGAATGCCTCTCTAATTTCTGCAGATGACGGGTGTGGTTGCTTGCAGGATTCCAAAGAGTCAGGCAAGGTGTCAGGCCTGACCCTGTGGGTTAGAGCTCTTGGATCAGGGAATCCTAGTGTCTTCCTTATGAGTTGACTTGAGAACCTCCCTTCTAGAATTGAGTATATGTTGCCTTAATTTGCCTGCAGAAAGACTTAATGTACTTTTTTTGTGTTTGAGACAGAGGCTCACTCTGTTGCCCAGGCTGGAGTGCAGTGATGCGATCTTGGCTTACTGCAACCTCTGCTTCCCTGGTTCAAGTGATTCTCCTGCCTCAGCCACCTGAGTAGTTGGGATTATAGTCCTGTACCACCACGCCTGGCTAATTATGTATGTGTAGTAGAGATGGAGTTTCACCGTGGTGGCCAGGCTGATCTCAAACTCCTGACCTCAATTGATCCACCCACCTCAGCCTCCCAGAGCGCTGGGATTACCAGCATGAGCTACCATGCCCAACCATTAATGTACTTTTCTTAATTGGAAGTTTAAGAAAAGTGGGTAAGTGTATGCCAGGAAGGTTATTGTGGATGAGTGTGTGCCAGGCTAGTGTGGGCTAAGCACTTTTAAATATTTTTTAAATGTGTTGTGAAGCGTGTTAGATACAGAAGAGTGAATGATAGACATTTGTAATGTAGAGAGTAGTGGTAAAATGGTAAACCTCTGCACTTACCACTTAGGTTAAGAACTAGAACATTTGCAGCAAGTTAGAAGCCCCAACTGTTATTCCTAAATTGAGTTAATAATTTCTTTGGTTTCTTTCTTCTTCTTTTAAAAAATTAATATTTTCCATTTAGGTATAATTTACATATAGTAACATTCACTTTTTAAAGTTATGGTTCAGTGAGTTTTGACAAATAGTCATGTAACTACCACTACCTTGAAGATATACAAGGGTTTCATCACCCTCCAAAACTCTTTCTGCTCCTTCATAGTCAGCTCCTCTCCCTCCCCCGGTCTGTGGTAGCCACTGCCCCTAGAATTGTGTGTTTTCTAGTGTGCCATGTAAATGGAATCGTAGTGTGTACTTCCCTTGCATTTCTTTACTGTTCTGCCTCTGACATATGAATCCTTCAACAATAGATTGATTCATTTGGCTAAATTGAGTAGAAGTCCGAACTTAACACAGGTCCCTTGGCCGTGTAAGAGAAGGGCAGCACCAGCCCTGTTGTCGGCCAGAGACCTGCCAGGCATAGGGCACTAAATGATTTCTGGGGCATGGTCCAGCTTTGGCTTTCCTGAGAGTTTTCAAGGTCCCTTCTGGGGAAGTCAGGGGCAGGGTTGTGAGTGAGTCCTGGAAACACGGTTAGGGCAATGGACAGAGACTAGATGTCTGCGGGCACATGATCAGAGGGAATGGGCTGCCCTGGATTTTCTGTGTTTGAGTGCCCATGACCTACTCCCAGCTCCCAGAAGCAGGTCAAAGCAGGACCTATCTTTGAGCGAAGTGAGTACTCTCCGCTGGTCTGGGGACTGGGGGCATGGAGGGGAAAGCAGTTACTTCACCAGTAAAGGTCAATCCTCAAGCAGTGAAGGTTCATTTGGAACCTCATCCCCAGGGTAAAGGATGGTGCAGTGGTGATGACAGTCCCGGTGTGTCTTCCTGGTGGGTCCCTGGATCTGACTGCTCCCGTCGTGTCTGGGGATGGTGTCCTCTTCTCTGGTTTCTGGCATCCCTCGCCTTCCCTTTCCCAGCTTACTCTCTTGTTTGGGGAGTACCTCCTCTATCCTTCTTAAGAAAAAGAGGGAGAAACAATTCTGTGGCATCTTGCACACCTGGCAGTGTTGCTGATTGTTTGGGCATGGCATTTTAGGGGTCAGCATGTTCCTCCAGAGCTGTGTGTGTGAGGCTCCTCTGTCTCATTCTCAATATTGCTGTTGAGATGCCAGAGCATTCTGATTCCTGACTCTTTGTATGTGACCTGATTTCTTTTGGAAGCCTGGTTTCTCTCGGAAGCTTCCTCTTTCCCCCAGAGCTGAGAGGCTTTAGTGATCTCTTTGGGATTTGGGTCTGTTTCCGCCCTTCTGTGGGCCACTGAGTGGGGCCTTTTAGCTTGGAGAGTCACATCCTTCAACTTTCTGCAGTGTAGTTACCGGCCATATGGGCTGGCGGGGATGGGGAAGGTTGGATAACAAGGTAAGCATTTAGAAGGCAGGGTCCTAGTGGCCAGAGGAACAAGCTGAGCCCCTCAGACCCAGCCCCTCCCTGCCCACAGCCTACCTCCAAGGAGGCCTGAGGAGGAGGAGGAGGAAGAGCTGGAGGAAACAGCCCAGGAGAAGAAGCTGCGCTTGGCCAAGCTCTACCTAGAGCAGCTCCGACAGCAAGGTGAGCCAGTGCGCAGGCCGGCCCTGGCAGGGCTGGTGCCTGTGTTGGTCTGCTGCCTGCCGTTGCAGCCCCAGCCACCTGATGGGTGACTGACGTGGGTGCCCAGTGAGTGCCTAGGCTGTCGGTACTGGCTGCCCTGTGGGGGTGGCCAGGAGCACTCATGGGCCTTCCAGGGAAGCCAGTACTGACAATAAGTACTGATCCAATAAGTAAAGTCATGAAGAAACCCTCCAGCCTGCCCTTCCCTCTGCTGAGGCAGCTGGAACTTCCTGCATTACCCAGCCCTGGGACAGTGGGATGGGGACAGGATGGGAGAAGAGGGTTCTGAGCCTCGGTTTACTTGGTCTGGTCTGTCCTGCGCAGAGGAGGAGAAGGCTGAGGCCCAAGCATTTGAGGAGGACCAGGTGGCGGGGCGCCTGAAGGAGGATGTGGTAGGTGTGGAGGGAGAGTTGGTGGAGGCAGGGGTGGAGCTGATCTGCTCCCAGGGTCCCATCTGACTCTTCTCCATGCAGCTCGAGCAGAGGGGCAGGCTGCAGAAGTCGGTGGCAAAGGAGGTGAGTGGGCGTGGTAAGGTTGGAGGCAATTGGGGTCCCACCTGGGTTGGTGGGCAGGTGACTCAGTGGGGGCTCAGGGTGTGGGGGTCTTTGCTCTGGAACATGGTGGACACTTGGGACTATAGGGTCAGGTAAGGAGCTGGTCCCTGTAGCCTTGGGTCTGGTTTTCCTTCTGGCCAGGATGGGTGGGAAGGGCCAACACTGCTGGGTGGGGTTGATGGGGGTAGTGCCTTTATGCCACCAGCCACAGTGACCCAGCCCCTGTCCGCCCAGATCCAGGCCCCAGCCTCGACTGACATTCGCATTTTACGGGGGCACCAGCTCTCGATCACATGTTTGGTCATCACCCCCGATGACTCGG